TTTTCCAACAGTACTCCTGCAACTTATTTACGGAATTAAGTGAAAGAAAGCAATTTTCAATTTATTGAAAACATTTAACTGCCCCACCAATCCTGGGGAAAGTCACTTAACCAATTCAACTAGGAAAATGAAAAAAAAAAAAATTTAAGGAATTAATAGAAATTATATAATGCATTAATGATCCTTTTTCAGGAACTGAAAAATGAACCTGAAACATTTTAAATTACTTTTGCTTTCAGCATGTTCAGTAGGGGCCAGTGTGTTGGAGCCACCATCATCTCACATAAGGAATGTCCCCTTATAGAAATTAAAAACTTTGTATGCTTGGAAAAAAAATGATTTATTTTCATTTATATTCTGAAACAACTAAATACATTGTTTAAATCAAGTTTATTTACTATCTGTACATTTGACTCTTTGGATCAACGTGGCGACATGGATTGCTTAGGAAGAACATTAAAAATCCGTCTTCAAAATTTAAATTACAGTTGAACTTTGGTATCTTGTACCTGGATATCTCGAATACTATGGATATGTCAAAGTAATATGGAAGTCCTAACCATGGATTCCTTAAATATTTTACCCTTGATATCTGGAACCCTCGGATATCTCAAAGTTTTTTTTCGGTCTCATTGAGTTCGAGATAACAAGGTTTGACTGTAGATATTGATTGAGTATATGCAGAAAACAGATACTGAAACTAATATATCAACTGAAAACTGATGTTTTATAATATTTCAAAACTTATAACACATCTTGAGATATAAATGAGAACTATACATCATAGTTTTAATGAGTAATTTGAAGACAGCTTTCTTTTTCTTAATGCTAAGGATAGCAAAAAGAAATTTTGCGCCCAGTGACTCCAAATCCTGTAATCTACTTTAGCTTTCTTTAATTAGACTTTAATTCTGGGTCTCAATTGCATGTTTTTGGGATGAAATTTCTTTTTGTGTGTGTTTGTGTACAATTGCAACAGAGAGAAATCCGTAAATAAAAAGATTGCTGCATGTAAAAACACTCGGTATGATGGGAAACCTCTCAAATACAATTGTAACAAAAACGTAGCTCCAAGTAACACGGAAATATAATGAGAAAATATAATTGCTGAGCTGTAGGAGGAAAGAGAATCAATGTTTTGGTTCTTTGTCGGAGCATGTTGTACCATTAGATTGTTAATGTGGGCGGTGGGAGATCTGAATGACACACAGGCCCATTTTGAAATAAACCAAATGAATCATAAATCTGGAAAGTTTAGGAACATCCTCACAAAGTCAGGGGTCCTGAGTCCACTCATGTTCATGGGACCCCTGACAAACTTCATTTGATTTTAACAGGCCAGCTTCTGTTATTGAGAAGCACTAAAGAAATTCAAGCTCTCGTAAGTTGACATAAAAAGTGTAAACAAAAAGTTAGGAGTTGAAACCTCAATGCTCTTGTTACAGGTTGTTTGTTACAGAAACCCGATTTCATTGCTGCAGTCATCCCATAAAAAATTGAATGAAGTTTGTCAGGGGTCCCCAACCATGAGAAAACAGAACCTCTGATCTTGTGAAGATGAGGAAGACAATGAATTCCAAAAAGGACATCCATGTCCTGTGAAAACTCACTGCCTCCCCTATTTAGGAATTTCTGATTATAAAGTTTGTGTTTTTAAAGAGCAGTGAGATTGTTCCTTTGCCAGTTTGGGAGAGGGGTGGTAGGGGGTGGGGGTATGTAATGAGACCTGGAGTGGACCTGAAGACCTGAAAGTCTGAACCTAATTATAAACACCAACTGTCACAATATCATATAATGATTGCTTTGGTTCAGACTGGAGTCTGTCCTTTATAAGGTAGGAACTGTGGTCATGGATGGGATTGCATCAAGCTCCTCAACCAAAAGAATTATGATTTAACCAAATTTTGTACCAGACATTTATTATCTTTTGCTGAGTGGACTGCATGAAAAAAAATAGTTGTTGATGGTGAAAACTGTTCATTAGTAATTTCCTCAAGTTCAAGTTCAAATACATCATTCATTAGGACTTGTAAACACTTTACAATTTTGATTTGAAATCTGGTTACAGGTGATCTTTCACGAGCTGCACAGAATTTTTTAATCAGAAAAGTAAAATGGACAATTGACAAAAAGATTTATTCAGAGTACTAAAAAAACTATAATGAAAAAAAAGGTGTTGTGAAAAAAATATATTAAAAAATCTTTGTAAGAATAATTAGATATTAGTTATGTGAAGAAGGCTGATATTACCAGAAATTAAGTTTGAGAAATGTCACAGTATGAATAGAAATATTCTGTCATTACTTGTAACTTACGCAGATTAGTCAGAAATAGTTACTGTACAATGAGATAGCAAATAATGGTTAAATGTCTTAGTGCAAGGTTTTGGACTGCCATTTCTTATATATACTTGCACTTTTTTATGTTGTAAGATTGTAGTTTGTTGAACACTACAATATAAAGAGAGAGAGACAGAGAGAGCTGAAAGAGTACTGAAATATGTCACATTTATCACTGACATAAAAGAAATAAATAGGAAGAAAGTGATAAAATGTTACATTTTGAATGTGATTCAATATAGAGACTCTTCATTATGTGTTTAGTGATGTAAGAACCAAGTATAAAACTCATCACACTAGAGGCACTTCTGAATACTAATACCACCCAGTCATAGAAGCTTACTAATAGCATTTAATAAGTATAACCTTCTCATGATGTTAAAAAAAATTCATTCTGTAGGTAGATATTTTCTTTACAAGTAGGTTTCATGCTTCCTAATGATATATTAATTTATCATTTGATAAGTAATTCGATCTTGCTTTGTGTTGTGCATTGTTTTGACATTAGGGTTTCCTAAATATTTTTGAAATTTTCAAAAGCTCTAGAAAAATATTGTATAAAGTGATGCTATAAATTGAAAGCTACAACATCTTAGACCATAGCACCAGATGAGTTAGCACTCCAAACTTCACAAAATAGCATTGCCAGTAAATAACTAAACTATAAGGAGCAGGCTGCACCTTGGAGCAATATAATTCACAGGAAAAGTGAAAAGTTAATTTGACTGCCAAATGTATAGGAACCAGCAAACCCAAACATTTTGTGTGATCTGTGGTTACCTGCAAACTCTCTGTTACTAATGAAGTGTTTAATGAGAGTGCTTATGGATGCTAAAGAAATGTATCAAAGATGTCTGTACTCTGGTTTGGCCATCACCGCTGGAGCGTGGTTGCTCATCTTTCTCTGCTTATCTGTCTGTGATCAAGAAGAGACTTTATGCTCAAACTGCTGAAAGCCTTCATTTATCTGGATTGGTTGATAAATGTGATTATCCCAGGTATATAATGAGATTTGAGGCCTGTTTCCTGAATGACCCTTTACCCATACCATATGACTTGGATTAGTGGTCTAGTAATTAGTAACAGCAGACTAGCCAGTTAACTTTATCATCAAAAAAAAAAAGAATTTTCTTTTTAATTTATAATCATCAGTGAAGGTTCAGATGAATCATGGGTAGAGGTCAGAGCTAAGGTCAACCAAAGATTGGTGTGAACTTTTATAGTATAAAACATCAGTTTTTAGTCAACTTTCCTAAATCTACAATATGTACTTCAATCAGTATTTAATTTCTGTATTTAATATTATACCAATATATATATATATATATATATATATATATATATATATATATATATATATATATATATATATATATATATATCTGTGTGATGTTTCACTTTACTGCATGAGATGGGGGTTGTTAAATTATGCTTTAAGAGAGAGATACAATATGCTGATGGAACTGTACAACACTTAATAAGTACATTCTGCTATTTCTAAAGTGCATTCATCTGCTAATTTCAAGCCTGTAGAGGTCCATCATATATGAATGATCAATAAGGTCATATTATGTGATATTCTTCTTTGCACTTTATATGACAGTAAACAGTATGGAAATTCTATTCAGTTGTTAACTGGAAAACAGAATTATCACATCAGGTTTACTGACCAAATGTTGTTCATGTAATAAGAATATTATACCTGTAGTGATACTTGTGATTTGAGATTGCATTAAACATGAGACAGGGGTTAGATGGAACAATTGATGATGTGGACTGAAATGAAATTCTGGTCATGATTTTCTTGCATTTTAAACTGTACTTGATTTGGATGGCAGTATTTGAATCACTGTTGGACCGTTTTTATAATTCTTGTTATCAGTGTACATCCTACAGTTGTGAACAGTTTGAGGGTTGTCATACCTTCATTAAAGATTAAAAAACTCTAATTAAGACAAATTCAACACTCAATTTTCAGCTGGCCTCAGGTGTTGTAGAATCCCAAGTTCTTCTAATTGTGCAGACAAGTAGATAAGTGTAATGTTATTGCTTCTGTCATTTTTAATGACCAATCAAAATATCCTAGCTGCTGCTTGGATGAGCCTCTGTAAAATACTTATTTTTCCTGCATTTCAGCATGAAATGCCTATATAGTTGTAAAACTGTGTGTATAGTATAGATTTCTTGGAGTACAAACATTCATTCATTAAATGTCAAACAGATTGATTTTTTTTTCTCATCGGCTGCCAGATGCTGTGATTGGCTGTTAGACTCTTTGATCCGTCTGAATTTCCCTCCTCCAGCAAACATTGTATATATTACAATGTGGCTATATAGTTTTCTCTAGAACTTCAATGTGGAAGATGTTTGGGAACTTTCAGTGTTTTATATTTATTTATTTTTAACTTTGAAAAAATTCTTGGCAGTGGACTTTAATGACTTAGCCTTGGAGAAAATGTGACTTTTTATTTAGAGATTTCTAGAGGAGAAAACAGTTTGTTGTTTGTTATTTTTCTGATAATTTTTTTTTTTTAAAAAGATATGTGATGTTACTGTTTAGTTCATCTTTTTTCACTAGTGGAAGGGATTTGGAACTTTTCATGTACATAGACATTTTTCTTCCTAGGATGTGAAAGCTGGAGCATTTTAGTTAAACACACCAGGTGTATGGTACTAATTAATGTAATAGTGCATGAAGGTAAATATTGATTTGTAGAGTTATTGCTTTTAATCACCAGGAAATTCTATTGTCTCTCCAAGTAAGCGGCAGAGGAGCAGGAGATATTCTAGTGTAGGAAAAAATTGTCAATATTCAATCTTGAGAATTGGTCCTCTTCTTGATCTACATTTCATTGCTTAGAAGGTGCCATATTGGTGAAACCCACAAAGAAATGCTTGACATTGTCACAGAACAATAGCTTGTGCAGGTACCCTGCAGACTGTAGGATTGATTTCATTGTTTGTCAGCAAAGCTGTAAATCTGAAGATTTCTTGTTCGTGCTGGTGACATAATTCTTGAGTGCATTCTTGTTATGTGCACTTCATTCATCTTTATGGCAGCATGATAAGGGTTCTATAATTCAGAAAGCAATTAGAAGGCGACGTTTCAAAACCTGTAAAAAAAACAATGCATCTGTTTCGAAAATCTAGAAGTAGATCTCCGACATTTGAAATTCCAAAACTTTGCTTATCAAAGCAGAAAAATGTGTCCATTGAGGAGCCTAGCTCGACCTCCAATGGCCTTGAGGTGCCTTTGGAGCAGAGAGGAAGGTCCACCAGTTTTGACTCTAGTTCCTTGAGCTCAGAGAAGAATGAATTTCTGCAGGTTCCAATCATGACAGGAAGAAGATGTCATTCTTTTGATTCCTGTACCATAGGGTCACGAAGTTGGAGTGCAGAATCCTCGGATGACAATACATCCGAAAGAGAATCCACAAAGAGTTGGAATCATTTACGGATTCCCAGAGGAAAACGACGGACTTCCATGGAAATCCCCAAGCTGTGCATACATTGTGTTCACATGGAGAGATTTGCAGAAAAAGAACAGGGAGAAGTAAATGGGAGACATTTTTACTTGGGAAGTGAGGAACACCTAGCCTCAGGTTCTAGCACCAGCTATACAACTTCATCGGATGAAGGCTCCTTAACATCAGATATAGACTTCTACCTGTCAGATGAATCTTCACAAGGAGATCACTATGACAGAGAAAGTGAGGCTGAGCCGTATTTGAGTGACACAGGTAGAAATAAGAGCTGTTCTCCTGATTGCGGCTATCCAAAGAGTTCAAATTCACATTCCCCTTCTCCAGACAATCGCAAGTCCCCAGATGACCGTCCATACACAAATGCTGTTACCTTGGAAGTTCCTGTTATTCGTCAACACAGATCCACCTCTCTAGATGGAGCTTTATTACAATCTAATTCCAACTCAGATGTAGCAGTTAAACCAGTTAGTCCAAATCGTGGAATGGTACAGAGACAGGACTCTTTTGATGAGGGATTAGTACTAGATGATGGCTCAAAATCTCAAGTACGATCCACATCCGTGGATGTAAATTTACCAACAGAGGAGGAAAAACATTACAAAGCCATTACTGGATCACCGTAAGTTATATATCCCACCCCACCCCCACCCCCATTCCTCACACCGATAAAGGGAAACAAAAGGGAAAAACTTTCAAACTCATGAACAATTTTGTACTAAACTTGAATGTTCATGTAATTTTGTAATTTCCAGTGCTTAAAGCCTTTTTATCTTAAAATTTCCTTCCTCTGTTAAACATAATTTCTTTGGAACTCTTACAAGAGGAGAAAAAAAGTGCAGATGCACTATATCAATTAGTATTGCAAGGTTATCTTCATGCTTTGTTATGTAGAAAGATGTGCATTCCATGCATAATGGAATTAAAGAACCTGCAAGTTTTCTGGTGCAGTGTATGAAGCAACTTGTCAGATCCAGTAAAATTATAAGTTTGAATACTGTAAATTCCATTTTTATGTGTACTGAATATCAGGAAATGACTTAAGTAGACATCAGATTACAAGAACATGAATTCGCAAATGGTCTGTTTATGAAGAGGTTTTACATGTGTTTTAGGATTAAAAAATTAAAAGTGGGTAATTTTATTTTTGGAGTGGTGCTTCTCACAAAATTACGTGTTAATAAATTCCTTGCACATATTAAGGGAATCTACAGTAGTTATTATGGCATTATCCAATCATTTTAGACCGTTATTAAAGACATGTGTGAAGTTTTTTGATTTTTGTTCAATACCTAGAGTATCAACAAGACAATTAATTCATAAGGCAAAAACAAAATTTATTCTCAATATTACAAATTGAATTTTATAAACCTATCTTTTCCTTTTCCTAAATACTATGATAACCTAGATAAAAGTTGCAAATATAGGAACATCTTGACGAATAAAAATAGCTTTTATCAGAATAAAAATCCTGAAGATTGCTGTGCAAACAGTAGAAATCAGGAGTGAAAATAATGATGTAATTCCTAAACAAACACAGGAAGAGTTCAGCCTCCTTTAGTCAGGGGAGAAACAGAAAATCAGATTATAAACAACCCAGAAAAAAGGGGGCACACATATGTCACTAGGAAACTATACTAATCAGTTTGCCTGAACATCATAAGGATAGTTAAAGGGACACTGTTATAAAAAATGTAACTGACAGTGACAACCTATTTTTATATCTGTTTTGCAGATCCGGAAATTTGTTGATCTGTTTGATGACTCTAAGGATTTACATGAATGAATTAAAAGTATTGCAAAAAATATATTTTAATTTTTTCATATTTCCCCCGAAAATTGAGAAATTGGCAATACAGTTTAACTTCGTTATCTCGAAGTTGACGGGACCGTTGATGAACTTCGAGATATCCAGGGGTTCGACATATCGAGGGTTATAATTCAAATGAACTTCAAATAAACTTAGTGCAGTGAACACTTAATATTAAAAACATGTCAAATTCCTTCTTGTTTGAAATTCTGTATACGATTTCTTTAATAAACATGTACATGTATTTAACAATAAAAAGATTTTTACATCCTCTTCATAATTCACAAAATAAAAAAAAAAACTTTGTATAATATGCACAGAAGTATAATCTTTCTACCAACGCGGCATGTCAACCGCTAGCATCGTTTCCCATGTATACATTACCGGATATCGTCTATGCATTGTAAATTTAAAACCGGTTGCTGTCAGAATAACGAAAACGAAATATACATTTTCTTTTATAAGAAAAACATGTTCATATATGTATAATCAGTGAAAAGAAAATTATTTTTACCATAATAAAATCAAATGCAAAAGAAGAATCAAGCACGTTTGTCTAACAACAGAACAACACTGAATCACAGGACACTATAGCACAAGTTTTCACTGCGACACACGCTCACATGTTGGTGTGTACGGACGATTGTAAATTCTGCACGCTCATATAGGAAAAATAAATTCTAATTGCATTAAATTACAGAATTTTGTTTTACCTCGATGTTTATGATTTTCACTTTCATATGCATAATTTATGTATGCGCGCATATTTCACATAGCATTAAATAGCGATTATCAAGATAAACGTACCCAAGCCACAAAACAACGTGTCATACACACGTATGCATTAGACCAATACACACAACCTTGGCTTGCATAATTAAAATCAAGGTAAGCCATACATACACTTCGTTTAATTATCGCGCTATTATTTGTTGATCACAGGAACACAGGTAACCCGTGCGAGACAGACAGGTGGGTGTTATCAATAGAGCGTCCAGTTTACCTTACGGACTTGATCATCAGTGCAGAAAATTATCCTGACTTCGAGATAACGCATGTGATTTTAATGAATGGGTACAAAATTTTACTTCGAGATAACCGGGGTATTCGACATTTCCGTGTTCGACGTAGAGGGGTTTATTTTAATCATTTATTAAGCAAATTTCGTCGGGACCACGGCCTTACTTCGACATATCCAGGGTATTCGAGATATCCGTGTTCGAGATTTCGAAGTTTAGCTGTATATACATTTGTATATTGTACATTTAATCCACTTGTTCCCAAAACAAGAGAAAGAATTTCTGTGTTTTATTTTTTGAGACAATTTTGTCTTTCAAATGCTGCATTCAATATTGTTTCTTTTTATTTAATATTTTTGTCAAAGGCTCAATGAAAACAAGGGTTAACGTACATATTTTTCTGTTATAAGTTAAATTTAATGTAAAAGAACCGTAAACTTTAAGGTTTAAAACATGACAGAAATAAGCCCATGATAAAAAAAATTCCTAGATTCTCATCTAATTTTTTTTTAAATCGAGGCAGGTGGGCTGATTTTATTTTATATTTTTTATTTCTTCTATTCTACAGATATTTTGTTGACTGATCAATCAGTCTGAGTGCAGATTTATCCATTATCCCCAAGTTAAAAGTCATAGTAGAGGTCCATTTATATATACATAGCCGTAATTTACTACACATTCTCACCAATCTTTCACAACCAATGATCTTTGTTTAATACATAATACAGCAATAACCATCTTGTCAGCGGCAAAATTCACCCCAACATTTGCAGGATTTTAAATGAAAGTTGAATTGTAAGTTGAAAATAGTGATCCCGATCAGAATCAAGACAAAGAAAAATATGCAGAAATAAGGAAAATCGAGACAGGGGTAAAAGAAATTGGGGTGGGTAGGGATAACATTCTAGGAATTTTTTTATTATGCCTAACCAATAATTTATACAAGGAGAGACATCAAAAAAAAAAAAAAAAAAAAAAAAAAATCAAAAATTGAATTTCATGCTTCAGCTGATAAAACTGGTGAATTCTGAGTGATTTGATTCACACTTTTGGTTCAGAACTTTTCTCTGTGAACTTGGAGTAGCAGCTTTTAATCTCAAAATGTGATTATAAACCCATGTTTCTTTTCATTATCTAAGTCCATTGGTTACATTTTATCACAATCCTGTTGAGAGGCTAGTTTTTATCATAAGTTGAGCTTGTTATGGGAAATGATAATGAACTTTTGAAGCTGAAATTTTCAACACAATATTTTGAAAAGTATTGAATATAAGTTTGATATACAGGATTTGTGTTGCTGGGGAAGAGTTGTGTTATTAGAATTAAACTGAAAAAGCCTTTCTTTGCATACTGTGCTATTGGACCTTTATGTTTATAAAGGTGTAAAATTTTAAGAAATTGATACTTTATTGTTTGGAATATGAAGAGAAGGGTATCCAAATGGATGAATTGTGATTTTGGATCTTGCTATGTTGGTTGTCTTCACAGCAACATTAACGAGCGACTACGGTAAATTGTCTTTTTGATATAAAATTAATAACTGGCTTCCTGTTTATATGGAGGTAATCACCTTCGGCAGTTTCTGGCACTAAATCATGTATTGTTTATACGACACTGTTTTCAGGGGGTCTGATCTTGCATTTCTGCAATTAACAGCTTAAATATTTTTTACAAGTTGCTATAAGTGAGGCAATGATTTAATGTCCTTGAACCATTGGAAGCATAGGTTCTTAGTTTAAGTTTGATGGTTGATTGTAAGGTAACTGGGTTAGTTAATTGTTTATAGCTTATAGACACATGCAGTTTGCCAGACAAGGTCTTAAATTATATATTAACAAGACTGAAAGGCAGACACAGCAGGAGAAATGGGGTGTAGTTGTTATAGCCCTAGTCTACTAACCTTCACCTTTAAGATCACATAAAATACTGTACTGGTACATACAGTATTATTAAATGACATTTTTCTTTAAGCATTATTCTGTATGCAAGCTAGTTTTGAAATTGTAAATATGCAAAATTAAGGCAGATGCTTTTTGTATAACCAGCAAGATTGCCAGCTAGTCCAGAGTAGAAGACAGCTGGCAATTAAGAAAGAGCTGTACATTATAGCATCTTAAAATGATAATTTATTATTGAACTCTCCTCCTACGTACCTTATACCAGTCCTCTGGTGTTTCCAAGGGTCTCACCGTCTGTGTTTCGCCCTGAACACTTTTGTATTGTTTAGAGGATTTGGGTGATTGACCACTGTTTTAAAAGTATTTCAAATTTCAGTTATTAAGTTATACTGAAACGCAAAAGAAACGCAACAAGCAGTAATCTACAAATATTTGAATTTTTTATCTATTGATTTTCAAAAATGAATACACTAGGGTAAAACTTGATTTAAAAACATCAGAGATTTGATAAAAATGTTCAATGATTATCTTTTAACTTTAGAAAGTAACACATGACTTTAAAACACCCCCCACCCCGGCCATTCAATTACAGCGTGCAAGTCTGCCATGCACAACAGTTGCAGCTTGATTTCTACAATGCAATAGGTTCATCAATCTCGAGATCTGAGCGAAAGAAATATTCGTTGCCATTTTTAAATGCCTGTTTTTCAGATAATGAGGTCGAATTTTCTCTAGCCAAGCGCAGTGTAGGAACCCTTGGACTTCCGGTCCAAGGAATGTCATTCATGCAATTGATATGCAAGAGCCTGTTGAGGCGTGATGTGGGTCATATTTGCATCTGTAACTCTCCATCACCTTTATTTTGAGATTTTCCAGCTAGAGCAATGGAAATGCGTACTTAAGTCATTTTCAGAAAGCCTTGGCATCGCTTACGGAAAAGAAAGGGGAATTTATTTTTCGGAACATTGCTGCATTATTTATGATGAACAGATACAAATCCTTAAAACCCAATATTATTGACAAATGTTTTGTTAAACATGCAATTTTTGATTTCTGTTAAGCAGACTCAAACCTAACTTCCGGTAATGGTATGAAAATCATTCAACCGTTAAATTACCGATAATTACAAAGTTGAAGATGTCCTTACTTTTTAGATACACAATTATATCCTGTATGTAATATTTCCCCCTAAAATATGATGTTGCGTTTCTTTTGCGTTTCAGTATATATTACGTTGAAAATTCAAGCACATGGTATCATATATTGCTATATAAGCAATATGATATATTGATGTTCTATTTATACCCCTTGCAGTGAGGTTGTTGAGGGGTTATACTGGAATCTCAGTGCCCTCCCCTCCATCTGTCTGTCTGTCTGTCCTGCTGTGGATATACTTTTTGTTTATATGGATTTATGAGATTGACCACTGTGCGTTAACATTTAAGATGAGTTGCATGTGATGATTATTAGATGATTACTAGTGTCCTTGCTTAGGGCATTAATAGTCCTAGATCTGTTACATTTTAGGCTAAAACTATGTAAACAAATTAAAACTGAATAATATTACACTTTAACAATTATGTTTGTAAGTAGCAGTTCCCTGGTAGTGAGTTACATTGCAGCCAGCTTCCTGGTTTTTGATGTGAGAGGGTTGCAGTATCTCCCTGTGATGTAGGGCAGACTTCAGAACATCTGTTCTTTCTGTATAATCTCTAACATGTAAACATGGAAGACTGAACTGCAGTATTATGCTGTATGTCAATCAACAACAAGACATTTATTACGCTGAGTAACTCTTACAAAATTACAGAGGAATTCTGTAACATAGAGCAGTTCTTCTGTGCAGAATCTGAAATTTCAGTATCATGAAAATGGATATTGATACATGAATTATAAGTCTTAAAATTCTTAATGCAGATTAAAGCTCACAATAAATGTGAAGGAAATTTTATCTCAAATATTTAAAAATTTTATATAGTAAATGAAAAGGACACTGTAAATCATTTTTTATTTTCACATAATTACACGAGACTGTCTGCATGAGAAAGTTTCATTCTTACGTATATTTATATCATTTAAGATTATAAAAAGCAATGACCGAAATCAGGAAAATTTAAATTTTTTTATTGCTTATAAATAGCAAATTTTATAACTGAATCTCGCGAAAATAAGGTGTTGCAAAAATTAAGTGATCTATAGTACATGTAGTTTAGTTAGAAATATTGGTTAAAAGTTTTATTTAGTTTTAATCATTTTGTGGTTGATATAATAAATATTATTTTATTAATTATTGTTTATCTGTTACTTAGGAATTTACTTATCTTAATGGAGAAAAACCCAGATAAAATTAGGATATTTTAAAATAGATAAAATTTTCATTAGTAATTAAAAAATACAACTTCATGAATTAAATCTCTAATATTGATTCTCATATCCCGCTAGTCTTTCATATTTGACATACCTTTGCTGGTGACAAAAAGAGGACTGGAATTAAGTAACAGTTTGTTCATACCCTGATGAATATAAAATTTCAATGCAATATAACACATCTTGTATTGTTTTTTTAAAAAAAAAAATGGAACTATGAAGCTCCAATTACCTACATACAGTTACATCTGCATTGAGAGACGCCTAGTATTTCACTTCAAAGTATTAATGTACTTAACAGTGATGCTGATAAAATTCAGGGAATGTGCCATTGGATTGATTATTTTACAGAATATTAATTGTAACAGATACACAGCTTTTATTATTTATTTGAGCATACTTAAGTATCTGTCAAAGGGGGGTAATCTGCAGATTTAACTGAATTTACAGGAGGGATAAGAATTTAGATTGGAATTTTAAGCAAACTGTTAGTAAAGGATTTTTTCCTTTTTAGGTATCAAATGAAAGCTTTATGCATTTCACATTGTCATAAATAACAAATAAAATCTATATGTACTTGATCTTGTGATTTATGACGCAATGTACAGTAAAAAAAAAAAATACATTTACTGTAACATTCTTTAGAATGCATTCTTTTATCATTTGATATATAAAAGCTATTTTCACTCTCATATTTAATCTGTTTTGACACCTAGATTATTATTGTGCCTTAATTCACAGTCTATAAATTGTGATATAAAGCTGAAGTTTTTAATTAAGTTTTGCATAAGGTTTTATCTATGTATGAAAAAAGCCTGTGTAATGTAAACAGGGTAAATATAGTAACTGTACAGAATAACCGATTAAATTGATATGATTATAACAAAAGTTGATGATATGATGCATTGTTGGAAATAATTATTTTGATTTTTTTAGGAAGGCTATTTCTAAGAGCACATTCAGCAATACAAACTACCTACATCCGAGTCATGCGGAATCCGGATTCCGGAGGAGGGAACTCCGGTCGACGGTGGACTGGGCAGTAAGTAATCATTTTAACTGGAATGTATACAAAAAGATGTCAATTTTATTGGTCATTAATATACTTCCAGTATGTCTCTAAACATCATATTTTAAGATGTTTCTATTTTCAAACAGTATATTGAATGCAATGCTATATAATACAGCATATTAGGCACTGAACTGGATTAATTAATGCACAAGTGTCTATTGACTATGACAACTTCATGAGGCATCTTTAAATTGCCTTTGGAAATTAAAAATCATTTTCAGTTGTGTTAAATAGGGGTGTATTTAGGGATGTAATATAAAGGCTGGTGATTTTGAAAGCCAGGGGAGGGTGAAAAGGCTCCGGGGGCCAAAAAACTTAGATGAGCTCGGTTTTGATCTCATGCAGTCTCAATTTCCATATGAATTCCTTATGTAAAAGTGTGATGGAGGTCCAAGTTTTATGACTAGGGAGTAAGTTGTTAACTCTCTGTCTGCCCATTTCTGTGCTGTTCCTAAAATGAAAGAAGGGCATTTGTCATCTTGAAAATTCATCTCCAGTTTTAATATGTCTTTCACTTGCTAGCCAAGTCTTTTTCATTGAGAAATTTCAATAACATGTACTTCATTTTGTTTAACATTCCCTAGATTGGTATTAGAACCCCTGCTCCTTATCCACAGAAACTTTAACCTTGCATGGCTGTAACTTTTGAATGGTTAGAGCTTGGGCTTTCACATTTCACTCATATTCCTTGAGACAAGACCTTTCTTTAGATACCAACATTTTGACCTCTTGATCTTGTGACATGACCTTTCTTTGGGTACCAACATTTTGACCTCTTGACCTTGGAGTTTAATCTACTATTGAAGAACTTTACCAAACTTTAACCTTGGCCATATCTTTTGAGTGTTTTGCTAGGGCTTTCATATTTCACATGTGTATTCCTTGTGATAAGACCTTTCATTTTTGACATCTTGACCTTTAAACTTGGTAATGAACTGCCTTTTGAGGAGCATCAGTGTTTCACAATCACGTCTTTGCTCATGACACCATTTGCCATGATGTTTGGTTTGGGGTAGAATTGTTCAAGGTTTCTAAAATATCCAACACAGTGTTTTCTCATATAAACAGTTCTTTTTGAGAAAGTGTGGATGTTAGCACTTTTAAATTTTGTTGCAAAGTATTCTCCAAGTCTGCTGAAAATTTTCTTAACTTAGAAGAAGAATGAACGATAGCCAAGATGATTTTCATCCCTCCATTTCTAAGTATATTTTCCTTACTTCCATGATGTTCATATCTCTTTCAAAAACAAAATGAGTTTGTGAAACATTGATGCCTTGTATGGCAATTCATGGCCAAGGTTAAATTTTTTCAAATGTAGGTCAGACTCCAAGGTCAAAAGGTCAAAAATGAAAGGTCTTAATTGTCACAAGAATATAATATGAAAGCCCTTGCACAAACCATTCAAAATTTTTGGCCAGGGTTAAAGTTTGGTTAAAGCTTTTCAAAAGTAGGTCAACCTCCAAGGTCATGAGATTAATTTGTTGGTACCCAAATAAGGGTATTATCACAAGGAATAAAATATGAGATATGAAAGCTCTAGTGCCAACCGTTGAAAAGTTATGGACAAGGTTAAAATTTTCCAAATGTAGGCCAAACTCCTAAGTCATAAGGTCAGAAATGTTGGTACCCAAATAAGGGTCTTATAACAACAAAAAATTGTGAAATATGAAAGCTTTAGCAGCAACCATTCAAAAGTAGATCTAATGCCAAGGTCAAGAGGTCAAAAATATTGAGCTATAAAAATGTCTTGTCACAAGGAATTCACATGTGAAATATGAAAGCCCAGTTCAAAAGTTATCGCCTAGGTTAAAGTTTGATAAAATTTCTTCAAAAGTAGGTTAAATCCAATGTCAAGAGATCAGAATGTTGGTACCAAAAGATGAAAAAGTCTTGTCAGAAGGAATATAATTGTGTGAAATAAGAAAGCCCTAGCACTGACCATTTAGGGACAAGGTTAAAGTTTTCACAGACAAACAGATAGACAGACCAAATACTATTTATCCCTGAATCTTTGATTTTGTGGGCATAAAAAGATAGTGATGGTATAGATCTTTCTAAGTCTTTGGAATTTTGCTCTTTTTTTCCAGCTCTGAACAAGCATATATCCATTTCTTTATCTACATGTTGGATTTATTGCTGATTTTTAGCTCACCTCAACAGAGTTGGGGAGCTTATGTAATACCCTCAGCGTCAGCATCCGAGGTTAAGGTTTTTGGAGCAGTTTTCTTTTCAAGTACATCTATGGCCTATATTAGTCAGAGATGCATGGAGGATGCTTGTAGTGTGTTTCATTGTATCAGTCAAGGTTTGAGATGCTGCAATTTCAGCTAAAGAATGACCAGGTTAATGTTTTTGGAGCAGGTTAAAGTTTTGGAGCAGGTTAAAATTTTTGGAGCAGGTCTCATTTCCAAGTAACTATAAGCCCTATATTGACCAAACTTGCATGGATGATACATCTAAGGATGCACACTACTGAACTTGCTTCGGATGCTGGATCTGACCTACATTTTCTGGATGAGTGACTAGGTTAAAGTTTTTGGAGTAGATCTCATTTCCAAGTAACTATAAGCCCTATATTGACCAAACTTGCATGGATGATACATCTAAGGATGCACACTACAGGACTTGCTTCGGATGCAAGATCTGACTTAAATTTTCCGGATGAGTGACCTGGTTAAAGTTTCTGGAGCAGATCTCATTTCCAAGTATGTATAAACCCTATATTGATCAATCTTGCATGGATGATACATCTAAGGATTCACACTACTGGACTTGCTTCGGATGCTGAATCTGACCTATATTTTCTGAATGAGTGACCAGGTTAAAGTTTTTGGAGCAAATGTCATTTCCAAGTATGTATAAACCCTATATTGATCAAACTTGCATGGATGATACATCTAAGGATTCACACTACTGGACTTGCTTCAGATGCTGGATCTGACCTACATTTTCAGGATGAGTAGCCAGGTTAAAGTTTCAAGAGCAGATCTCATTTCTAAGTAACTATAAGCCCTACATTGACTTAACTTGCATGGATGATACATCTAAGGATTCACACTGCTGGACTTGCTTTGGATGCTGGATCTGACCTACATTTTCCAGATGAGTGACTAGGTTAAAGTTTTTGGAGCAGATGTCATTTCCAAGTAACTATAAACCCTATATTGATCAAACTTGCATGGATGATACATCTAAGGATGCACACTACTGGACTTGCTTCAAATGCTGGATCTGACCTACATTTTCCGAATGAGTGACTAGGTTAAAGTTTTTGGAGCAGATCTCATTTCCAAGTAATATAAACCCTATATTGACCAAACTTGCATGGATGATACGTCTAAGGATTCACACTACTGGACTTGCTTCAGGATCTGACCTACATTTTCCGGATGAGTAACCAGGTTAAAGTTTATGGAGCAGATCTCATTTCCAAGTAACTATAAGGCCTATCTGAACCAAACTTGCATGGATGATGCATCAAGGGACGAACAATCTCAAACTTGCTTCGGATGCTGGATTTGACTTATGTTTTCTGGATGAGTGACTAGTTTTAAGTTTTCAGATAAGTCTATTCCCAGGTAACTGCAAGACCTATCAGACCAAAATTGCATAAATGTTGCATCTAGGGATGCACACTCCAAGGTTATTAGTTTAGTGTTGGACTTTGCCTTACTTAAAGAAACATTTGTTGAGGTGAGCTCTGTAATCTCTGATTACCTATGTTTCTGTATTTGTCCTTACTCTGCTCCAGTGGTAGAAATAAATACCAAGCAACTTTTCATACCAATTGGAAAAGGGGATGGGGTGGGGTTTACTGTAAAGTTGAATTCATGATGAATGTTCAATTATTTCCTGACATAACAAGTTATAGGAAATATGACATTATACTTCACTGCACAAGAATAGAAATGTGAAAGACATGTGGCATGCCACTCTCTATTAATTATTGGTTCCAGGCACAATTAATATCTGCTAAAACTAATGGGAGGTCAATCATTGGTTATCAAGGCATATTTTGGCAACAAAAACAATTTTTTTCCCCTTATTTTATCGAGAAATTTTTGGTTTCCACGAAATGAGCATTTATCTCCATTATTAGATAATTGTCTACTTGCACTTATAGAAAAACAAATGTCATCCAGTACCCTGTCTCTACAGAATCTTTCTGTGATGTCCTTGAAAGTCTGTATGCAATTTTTCAAAATAGATTAGAGAACTGTTTTCATGCTGTATTGTTTTTTCCATTTTGATTTTCATGGAGTTTTTCATTAAAATTTCATTGAAAGTCATGTGAAATTATCCTCAGATAGTGTAGATTCAAGTTTGTTCAAATCATGACCCCTGGGGGTAGGGTGGGGCCATAATGGACAGTAAAAGTTATAGGAAAAATCTTCAGAATCTTCCTTCTCAAAAACAGCAAAACCATGATTGGTCATATTTATATGGAAGCATTCACAGGTAGTGTAGATTCAAGTTTAGGGGTAGAATGGAGCCACAATGGAAGATCAAAATTTACATAGGAGTATATATGAAAAATATTCTTCTCAAGAACAGCAAATGATTGGTAATTATCTGTTTGGAAGTATCCTCAGGTACTGTAAATTCAAGTTTGTTCAAATCATGACCCCAGAGTAGGGTGGGGCCACAATGGACAAGCAAAATTATACATAAGAATACATAGGAAATTTAAAATTTTCTTCTCTAGAACATTAAAGCCATGATTGGTCATATTTATATGAAAACATCATCAGGTATTGTAGATTCAAGTTTGTTCAAATCATGATCCCCAGGGATAGGGTGGGGCAACAGTGGGTGATCAAAGTTTTACATAGGAATACAAAGGAAAACTCTTTAAAAATCTTCTTCTCAAGAACAGCAAAGCCATGATTGGTAATATTTATATGGAAGCATCCTCAGGTAGTGTAGATTCAGATTTATTCAAATCATGATCCCCGGGGGTAGGTTGGGACCACAATGAAAATACAAACTTATAGAAAAAAAGCCACAGTTAGTCAAAGAAATATGTAAGCATTCTTAATTAGTGTAGATTCAAGTTTGTTCAAATCATACCCCCCTCCCTTTAGGGTATGCTAGGACCACTTATATATTTACCGGTAAGCTTTTCATTACTGATTTTTGCTTTTTTCCTAGCCACAGCTCTCAGGTGAGCGATGTGGCCCGTGGGCCTCTTGTTTATGGATGTACTCAAGTGTTTTAAAGATATGGAAACACTAGTATTGTTTTTAAACTTAAATAATTCTTTCTCTTGTATTCTAGCTGAAATAAGTCAAATCTCATTATCTCTAACTATCCAGTATATGGGATCGAAAAAAAAAAAAAATTGAGGTATCCAAGGGTGTGAGATACTGAGGTTAAAAATTTTAAAGAAAAAAGTGGTTGGAACTTCCAACTCACTTTGACACTAGCTATTTATCGACATTCAAGAGTTCAGCTGTACATGTTTATTTTTTATCTATTTTAGGATCAGGCGGTTAACAGTGACCACCTCTGGGTGGACACTAATGCCTCCGGGGATTACTGCTATGCCATGGAACCAGATTGTCTGGTATGTAGACTGTTGTGAGATTCTTACAATACTTATAATGAAGAAAGCTTAATCTCTCTACTGATTGGGAGGCAATGAATTGGGTAAAACTAGGAGTTTAACAGTTGGATGTTGAGCTTGTATTATTGTTTAGTAGACTGTTCTCTTCAATACAACGTATTTCAACAGTGCACAAGTGAACACTCACAGAAAGTGATCCCCGCAATAAAAAAATAAAGAGTCTATAGAACCAATTCTTACTTTGCAGCCATGTTAGGAAATTATCTTATTGATTTATTGTGTCTGATTGGCCAGTATGTCCCAAATGAATTAATATAATGATTATCATTTTCTGCTTGTGGAAGTCAGTGATGGCTTTTGTCTTTTCAAAGTTAAAAAAAAGACAATTAAAAAGATAGTTCTTTTTCATTGTATTTAGGGCTTGTACTTTTGTGGCAAAGGAATGGAAGTTTGTAACCAGCAATTTTCATTTATATAAGCCTTGGAAATGGTTTGAAGTTAAATTACTATGAGAAAAATGACAGTGCTGTGAAATTTAGCCATATCCATGATAACAAAGCTCCAGGGACATAGATTATGAACTCCTTATAAAATTAATTCCTAATGAATGTATCCGATTTGATTTTTATTGCATTATGCAATCTCGAGAATCATTATTTTCAGCTTAACAATCATTCCTAGAAATGAGTTTTCATGTTTTTGTAATTTTTGGTCATGACTAAGAACAATTTATATGACGAAAACATGTACATACCGATCCATATTTGGTGAAGATTTGTTCCTCTTGCTAAGTGTACAATGTAGTGCAAATAATAGTACTGATAGAGTGCAGGGTTGATCAGGTATTGTGGTTTAATTTGCAGAAATTGAAGGATGGTAGTTGTACTTTCTGGAGAGGAAAGAGGAATTTTTTCAGAATGTTCAAAAGGAAAATTAAACCACAAAGAAGGAAAGCTTAAAAAAACTATATAACTCGAGATTTATTTTTTAGAGAAGCCGTAATGGAGAAATATTGACATATCATGTAGATAATTTATTGTGTGCCTTTGATTTCTATTAAGGTTAATTAAACATTAAGGGTGCAACGATAAACCGTTTGACGGTATATCGCGGTATATTTTTCCACGGTTCAATTCACGATACGCTAAACTGATATCGCGGTTCGGTTCAATCGGTCCAGAATTATCCGTTTTGTCCGTTTTATTTCCTTCTTTACTATTTCAAAATGGCTTCCGCGCAAAACATGAGGTCGCCAATAACGTTTACGGCAGTTAAACTCATCTCCAGCATCTTACAGACCTCAGATTTAACACGGAGAGGGACTTAATGTGATTATAAGTTATAGATGTTTAGACAAATGATTAACCCTTTAGATCTAAACGTTTTCTTTGGTAATACATGATATTCCATCACATGTGTATTTCGATGAAAATTGGCTGTCTTGTTGACTAAAATGTATTTATGACAACTGGTTTTCAACGTAAATAAAAGGAATGAAAAAATGAATGTCTTCCTTTTTCATTCCAATTTAAAAGGAAGATTATTAGGAAAGGTCCCCGTAGTTCCCTGTAAATGTTCATCATTGGTTTAGAATGTTGGCACAACTCATAGATCTACCTAACAATCCAATTCAAGTTAACAAAATTTTATTTTAATTATTATTAAAAAAAATATGAACATTTTGTATAACCCTGTCAAGTTTTAAAAAAATATGATGACAAACTTGAAAGACTTTTTAACCTTGTTATGTCTCGTGATACGTATCGTATTGTGAACTGAATACCGTGATACGTATCGTATCGTGAGGTTAGTGTATCGTTGCACCTCTGTTAAACATCTATAACTATCATTGTGAACTGGAAGCTGTTGTTACAGTTATAATACCTGTATCCTTTTGTTTGTCTCTGGAGGGGGCCATTTTAAAACAGATTCCAATTTTTTGGATCAAGTTTGTAAAGAAAGATTCCATATGTAGTGCAGATTCAAATTTTGATTAAAATTACCATTGCTTAAATGACAAGAACCTATAGGAATAAAGTGCTATAAGAATTAGAACCTAGGAAAAGAGTGATCTAAAAGCTTATTCCTTCAGCCTTCAGCTTTAAAATGTATATCATGTTTGAAATCTGTAATGTGATTGGTCGTACATGCCTGATGCAAAACATATACAATTTTGATTGAAGTTGGTCATGTGATCATTTTGGAATGGAGCTTTTTAAGAAAGTTCATCTGAAAATTACTAAAGTCAAGCTTCAAAGCATCATTGCTGATATGCATCTCCAGAGGTTTGACAAGTTTGGTCAATATTGGATTTTTAGTGACTTAATTCAAAATTTGAATGTTCCAATTAATGCAGCCTCCAAGACATGATACTTGTCTTGGACAAGCATCAAGCACTATGCTACCTACCAAAATAAAGGATATAGGTCCTTTGTTATATCATTGATATCTATGCAAAGTTGGTTACGGTATATTACTCATATTTAGATTTATTATTTATGTGTCCATGCCTTCTAGGCCCCTGGGGACTCCTGGGACCAAAATCAAATTTTTAAAGCTTTGCTGCTCATCTACAGGACAGGCCAATCAAATAAAGCCTTGCTGCTCATCTACAGGACAAGCCAATCAAATAAAACCTTGCAGCTTATCTACAGGACAGACCAATCAAATAAAGCCCTACATGCTGCTCATCTGCATGACAGACCAATCAAGTAAAGCCTTCCTGCTCATCTACTGGACAGGCCAATCAAATAAAGCCTTGCTGCTCATCTGCATGACAGGCCAATCAAATAAAGCCTTGCTGCTTATCTAAAGGGACAGACCAATCAAATAAAGCCTTAGATGCTGCTCATCTGCATGACAGACCAATCAAATAAAGACTTCTTGCTCATCTACTGAACAGGCCAATCAAATGCAAAAACATTTTTGTTCTACCTAAGAATGTTATGGTCATGATTTGGATGAGTGACTAGGTTAAAGATTTTGATGCTGATCCTTTCCTTTTTTGAATAAAGAATCTAATAAATCCTACTTTGAGCAAACATGTAGGAATGATGTATGTAAGAATGCTTATGCATCTGACAATTGTTTTACAAATGATTAACTCATCTGATTTATATATATTCTTTTATATTAAGATTTAGCATTATGTTTAAAGTAGCTATATATGTAGCGACTATCGATTTTAATGCTATGCTATCGATTGTCAGCATCGCAAACCTTCCAATGACGATTTGACTTCTGACTAACCTCTTACTGTTTAAACTAGGAAAAAATACACAAAATGTGAGTGAATCGAAATGGTGTTCCTGATTCAATTCGATAATCGAATAGTATTTTTTGTCCAATTCTGAAACACTAAGATGCACAGGAAGCTGACCTCCAGTTATACTTCCAATGCTGTCTCTGTGATATTTGCCAGATGATTGTACAGAGTTAAGTATTTGTAAGCATGCACTTTCAGGACTAAAGGTGATGCATGTAGGAATGCACAATACTGGAGTTTAGCTTCAATAAAAACTTTAATTATGAAAACAGCTACAACATATTGCATATTATTAAACATGTATTTGATAAGAGACTAATCTTCGTAATATATTGGATATGTTGAGATGAACTTTGTAATCTTTGTTTACCTAGATTTGATTTCTAGTAGACTTTGCAGGGAATAGTTTAGATTATGCAATAAGAAAAGTAAATTGGTATCTTTTTAGCAGCTGCCTTAAATAATACTGGAGGTTCTTCATCTAAGGATGGAAAGATTGAAGCTCCATCTGTCTCCATTTTAAATTGCAGCAATGTTTCTGCAATATTGGCTATCAGTATGAGAGTCAATTCTTTCATTAAAAACGGAAATTGATGGATTAGAAGAGAGTATTTCCACTGAATTCTGAGATTTAGTTGCGACTTGAGGCGAATTTTTCTTTATTAGGCTGATTATTTTCCTCCAATGTTACCAACCAAATTGATTATTGGAATTGAAATTAGTGAAGAAATTTGTTTATGTGTAGCAAGGGAACAGTGTTTTTGACTTGTGTGATCTGCGCTTGCACTTGGGTTCGCAAAGTGTTAATCAGGATAACGAATTTAAGGATATATTTTCAGAATGCGATAAAACGCAAGAGAGAAAATAGTGTGACTGATTCCTGCCTGTTTTATCTACCCAATTTTATGCGGTAATAAGTTTAGCATTTGTAGCTCAGCTGATTTAGCTTTTGAGTGAAGTCTTCTGGGAAAATTTTTATAATGGGAATGGTATAGGTTTAGTGTTGAATGCTATCGAGGCATCTGACCTGGACTGATATAATGACAGACAAGTGGAGAAAAATTGATGAAATAAGTACGAAACTCGATCTTAATATAAGTAGTTTAGTATTAGGTGATCACGTTTTTATTGGGTAATGGAAAATTGTATGTTTCCGTGGAAAACCTCAGGGGAATTGAGGCACAATTGTATGGGATAGGTGGCATTTAAAACAATTAGGTTGAAACCATGAAACTGAAATAAATAACATAAAATTGTTAACTAAATCAAATTTTTGGTATTAACATGGGACACCGTGGATGAAGATCAGTGGTAGATTTTACATTTCATTAATACCAAAATGTTTTATGACAAAAAAGGCTACATATGAATTATTACTAACACTATCACTTTCAGATGTGGGAAATATGGAAACAATCAAGCGAAATAAATGGATTATGCAATTTGTTTTCTAATATGGTAATTTGTCTTTACAGCATTTTATTCCACAGACTTGGTAACCTATAAAGATTTTTTTTTTTCTATTGCAGAAAACAGGACCAAGGAAAAAATGTATTGCTTGCAAGATTGTGGCTCATACGATGTGTATTCCTGTCCTAGAAAAGGTACATACGTGAAAAAATTATTTATCTAGCTGAAGTTATACAATGTAGTAAGACAAACATTTCAAGGAGACTTTAACTGTATAGGCACAAAGAAAATTTTCTTAGAACATTTTAAGTAATTTTAAAAATACAACTTTATTATAAAACAAATGCATATCTAGCAATATCAGAATCTGAGGATTTGCTTAGGGACATGGATGACTATTGTTAATTTTTTTTTATTTCTGTCATGCTCTCATAAAACCCATTATTTCACTCTCTTCATCAAAAGGGCAGGGGGATAATAGGTTTACTCATGTCAGAAAAGCTTCTCATTATCCATCTTACCTTGGTTCGACACCTCAAATTTAGATTGGTTTGGATGTGAGGAATTCTGATTTCTATCACAAGTTGGTCAGATGGAAAGCGTGGCTTGAATAGTTTTAAGGATTGTGGGGGTTCACAAGACATGGCTCCTATTGCATAAAATAGAGAGTTTTATAATTATTTGTACCGTATTGGTTGGAAGATGGAAACCAGATTCCTCTATGAGTCAGGAGTCAAAAGACATGGTTACTTTGCTAAAATTGATTAGATTTAGATAGCATTGGTAATTTACTCAAGAAAGTCTTGGGCTGGAAAGTGGCATGAAGAGGATGGAGTATTGCACTTAGCACTTTTTAATATCTAGTTCTCATATATGTTATATGGTCCTCTTTATAGTGAACTACCATAAAATTTACATTATGCAATAGTACAAGGTTATTTCAATTTTTTGTTCAATTCCCTTACTAAGTACACTCATTGGCAAATTTCAAACATGAAAGATAACATGAAAACAGAGAAAGAAAGTGGAAGATTTTTAATTTTAATGAGATGGATCAAAAAAATAGTTGCAGATATTTAGAAAAAAATTCTGTTTCCAAGAAATAAATGTTTGAACACCTTTCCATTGCTAAGGATTGATGTGAATGCATTCTTAGGGGGCAAAGGCACATTTTTTTTAGGAATGAAAATATATTTTAATAACGCATATTTTATAAATTCTTATCCATTCTCAACAGTTGATAGTAAAGTTGAATGGTAGGCGAAAATTTTATGTATGAAGCATGTAAACATATGGATAAATGAAAATCATTGTTTAGCTTTAAATTAACGTCTATTTCACTAGTAATTTTCTTTTGTACTCAACAACCAACAGAGAAGACATAATTTATTTCTATTCTCCCTTTGGGGAATTGAAGCATGTTGCCATTATTCATTTCTTTGTTCAATGAGAGACTGAAAATTTCCACTTTTCAATATCTAGTTCCTCAAAGCTTTAATCTCATCTCATTAAGGATACACAAGTTAAGCTGATGCTTAGTAATGAAGATGTCAAAATGTTCATTGTGTTTCAAAGAGATTAAGAGTTTTTGAGATTTCAAAGGTTTTAATTGAAACAAAGGCTTTTAATTTTGAATTGGTTCCAATATAACAGCAAGAAGTTGAGTTTGTTATTCCACGGCACAAGATCAAATCAGGATTCATTTTTAGATCACCTGAGCTGAAGGCTCAAGTGAGCTTTTCTGATCACAATGGGTGATCAAAGTTTTGCTTTGGAATTTATAAGATTTTCAAAAAAAAAAAAAAAAAAACCTTCTCTAGAACAGCCCTGATAAGTCATATTTACATGGAAACATGCTTGGGTAGTGTAGATTCATGTTTGTTTTAAACATGACCACTGGGTCACTGGTTGCTAAAATGGGCAATCAAAGTTTTACATAGGAATATATAGGAAAAGTCTTTCAAAATCTTCTCAAGAACAGCAAAGCCACGATTAGTCATATTAATATGGAAGCATCCTCAGGTAGTGTAGATTCATGTTTGTTCAAATCATGACCCCCTGGGCATAGGAAGGGGCTACAAAATGTGATCTAAGTTTTACATAGGAATATTTTGGGAAAAATTTTTATGAAGATCGGCAGAACCACAGTGACTATGGTAAGCATTATGGCCCATGGGCCTCTTGTTATGGTCAGCTTGACAGACCAGTGATTTCATAACCTTGACAGATCAGTAAACTAAAAGTCAGCTATAAGTACTAAGTATAAATCAGGGAAGACAAGGCTAAGATTTTCCTCAGCTGTCAGTAAGAAAAATGTAAAAAGACTGGATACAGTACACATGACATGCAAGACTTCTATATTAAGCTGAAAGGAAACCAGAGCATCGTTTATGGGAGAATAATCGGATATAGCCTTTAATAGGAAAGAGATTTGTTGCGACATCATTGAGTAAGCTGGAAATCTTTAGTGTAGAGTGATATATCTTCTTCAATGGATAATGACACAAATTTATTTAGAGACTAAACTATAGTCGTGATTTATTAAAACAACAAGAATTAAAACTTTATAATATATATATATTAAATAAAAGTGTCATGTTCATTCTATGTAATGTCAATGACTGATGCCCCCCCCCCCCCCCCTCTCTTCCCTTTCAAAAAAAAAGTCAAGTACATAAGATCACATCTCAAATCAGACAGGTATATATGAGTAACTTTGCTATTTTTAAAGTTCTGCTTGTCTCAGACGACATATGAAAGAGAAAAATGTCACATGATGACGAGAAAGAAAGAACCACACTAATACTGGAGATACGATGTCTGTGTGACTTCTGCGGATTTGTGTAATATTGTCTCTAAATACTCCTGCAGAGTATTAGCAAATATAGCACAAGTCATCAGCAAAAAGAAAGATATATTCATAGAGTAAAAGAAGAAGGATAATTTAGGAATATCTTTGATCTTGAATGTATTCTTGACCAGAAAGAGATCTATCAGTTTCAGACGGGAAATGTTCAAGATGCTTCTTCAGTTAATTTCCTCTAACCTTTTACTGGAATATGTTAAATATAGGCATATCAACTATCCCCCAGATCAGTGTGGCATAAGGCAGATTAAATGTTCTTTATTTTCTTTTTTTTTTAGCACATGTCTTAAATTCATATTATTTATATATGATCAATATATTGGGAAACTCAGGAGTTGAACTTGCTGAGCAAAAAAAAAGTCAAGAAGAGAAATTGGTTAGGTTAGAAATGGCATTGTCACTTGTCATGGTTACACTTTACAGAGAGTTTGAGCTAATTACCTACCCCTAAGGATCACTGCTGTTGTCCTTTGCTGCCTTGAAGGAAGTTAACAGTATCTGTCACTGAAAATGTATTAACGAACAAAATAAATAAAAGTTTGTTAAATAGGAAAAGTTCTAAGGCTCAAGGGCTACCTAGCATAGTTTAAGATTCAATATTTCCTATGGAATTCAGATTCCTTTATGTTTTTTTTTTTTTTTTTTTTTTCATTTCAGAAAAACCTGAGATGTAAACCAACATTCCGAGAGGCTGGTGTACGAAATTATCGAGAGGTAAGTATCCCCACTCCCCAAATCACATGCTATTTATTGTGGCATCAAAATAGTGCATGAACTTGCTAAAAATAGATGATAATTTTCTGTAATCGTGCACCGTATTTTACTAAATAGCTTGTGCTACATAATTGCACCCCATGTTTGATATTGTAATGTTGGCTGTATAAATCTGTTACGTATATGTGTTGCTGTCTTACAGGAAAGTGACTCTGAACCTTCGGTACGTTTCTGTTTTTTACAAGCAGATTGTGTGATCCTATTTTTGTGCGTGTGCTTGTGCGCGTGAACGGCACACTCTCCTTTTTAACATAGCTTTATTACTAAAAAATACAGTCTAATGGAACAATCCAATCTTTAATTCCATTCCATTTTGCACTGAACAGCAGCCTCTGATCTTAATTATGTTGCAACTGCTAACTAGGTGACACTTTGCTCTGTATGTTAATCACCCTATATACTGAATAACAACATTTTTATGATTTCAAATAGGCTCACTAGATGACTCTCTAACAGGATTTTTTTTCAGTTGAAACTGTAAAGCATTTTTGACTAAGTCAGAAGACAATAATTACAATAATAAGTATTGCTATCATTACCTCAGCCAGCAATGTAAAAAGGAGGCCGTGTTTTCACCTTGTCTGTCTTAGTGCCCTTCTGTCTATCCACTGGATAATTTTTAATTAATTTTGCAATTTATTTTTTTTTTGGGGGGGGGGGGGGGAACAAGAAGCAATTGTTAAAAAATGCAAATGCAGAATTTTTTAGCTCCATAAAATCTCTGAAGATATATCCTTTAAAAGGTTAAAAGATTTTCAATAAAGTTTTAGAAAGGATTGTTCCCTTGGGTAAGGAAATGAAGACAGATTGTTCTAAGATGCAAAAGAAGGGTTTTTTTTAATTCTTTAAAGTCTGTATCAGAATTTACTATGCCATAACACTGACCACATGGTGTTTCTTTTATGATTAAATTAAATTTAATTATAATTATTCAAATAAAAAGTTGACAGATGTGTTCATTTTCTGAGTGCCAATAGTTCTAAATTGAATCTGTGGTGGAAATATAAATATAATTTCACCTGCTTTGTATTAATTAAGGAATAAATTCATTAATGTTTTAATGCTTATATATTATTGTCAAGATTTAATATCTGTCAATATGAAATGTTTATGACTTTCACATATGTTGAGTTTAATCTTGTTTCCAGTAACAAACACAATAAAACTTATTTATTGAAATTTAAATACATGGAACTTTTTTTCTGTTATTTGATGTGATTTGAATTCCCATTGTTATTTCTTTTAATTGAAATAGAAAGTACTGTAGGTAAATAAGTAACTGTTATTAAAAATCCCTGGCTTCATACATTTTATAAATCCTCAATATAGTCTAAATTCTTCATTTCATCAGCATCTTTTTAGGAGATCTTCTTTTAAAAGGAACAAGTGCCAGTGTATTTTATTTTTCCACGTTTTTTTTTCTTTTCCTGTAGAACTTTCTTAGAGACCTTATTTAATCTATGGCAAACATATTATCAGAGTAATGGAATGAAAATATAAAAACATTTTTATGCTTTTACACCTTCTTAAACATAGAGAAATTCTTTCTGTATATAAATATGAGGAATGTACCGAAGCCGGTATTTGCCAGGTGAGAAAAATATGTTATCTGCTGCTATCAAATAAGTTTCTGGCAGACACCACAAAAATACAAGTTGGTAGCCAAATAATTTTTTTTTCTAGAGGCCACCACAAAAAAATCTGGTAGACTCCAAAAAAAGTTTTATCTTTTATTGCCAAATATGTTTCTGGCAGCTGGCATACAAGCTTCTAGGGGCCATGGCCACCAAAATATTTAACAGCTGTTGAGTAAATATCCGGCAGACACAGGATAATTATGTGGCCACCACCAGAAACCTATGTGATAAAGCTGCCAGATAAGGTAATTTTCTCACCTGGATCGTGCTCGTAAGAGTTCTATAGGAAATTGTTTTGGTGCCTCTAACCAGGATCCTCTGTTTTTAAACAACTAAGATTTGAATTTATGAATGAAAATAGTCAATCAGTGGATTATTTTTTCTTCAAATAAAGAAATTTGCTGAATGTTTTTGCTTTCAGGGGATTAAATGCACATTACTTTATCAACACTTGCATAGTAATAAAACATTTTTTGTTCCAATTGAATATAAGATAGCACCTTTAAGCTTATTTTGAAGTTTTTTAGCTCACCTGAGCCGAAGGCTCAAGTGAGCTTTTCTGATCACATTTTGTCTGTAGTCCGTCTGTCCGTCTGTCCGTCTGTCCGTCCGTCTGTCTGTAAACTTTTCACATTTTCGACTTCTTCTCAAGAACCACTGGGCCAATTTCAACCAAACTTGCCACAAAGTATCCTTGGGTGAAGGGGATTCAAGTTTGTTCAAATGAAGGGCCACGCCCTCTTTCAAGGGGAGATAATAAAGAATTAGTGAAAAATTAATAGCATCTTTTAAAAATCTTCTTCTCAAGAACCACAAAGCCAGGGAAGATGAAACTCATGTGGAAGCATCCTCAGGTAGTGTAGATTCAAGTTTGTTCAAATCATGACCCCCGGGGGTAGGGCGGGGCCACAATGGAGGATCAAAGTTTTACATAGAAATATATGGGGAAAAACCTTTAAAAATCTTCTTCTCAAGAACAGCAAAGCCATGATGAGTCATATTTATATGGAAGCATCCTCAGGTAGTGTAGATTCAAGTTTGTTCAAATCATGACCCCCGGGGGTAGGGCGGGGCCACAATGGAGGATCAAAGTTTTACATAGAAATATATGGGAAAAATCTTTAAAAATCTTCTCCTCAAGAACAGCAAACCCATGATGAGTCATATTTATATGGAAGCATCCTCAGGTAGTGTAGATTCAAGTTTGTTCAAATCATGACCCCTGGGGGTAGGGTGGGGCCCCAAAGGAGGATCAAAGTTTTAGATAGAAATATATGGGAAAAACCTTTAAAAATCTTCTTCTCAAGAACAGCAAAGCCATGATGAGTCATATTTATATGGAAGCATCCTCAGGTAGTGTAGATTCAAGTTTGTTCAAATCATGACCCCCGGGGGTAGGACGGGGCCACAATGGAGGATCAACGTTTTACATAGAAATATATGGGAAAAACCTTTAAAAATCTTCTCCTCAAGAACAGCAAAGCCATGATGAGTCATATTTATATGGAAGCATCCTCAGGTAGTGTAGATTCAAGTTTGTTCAAATCATGACCCCCGGGGGTAGGGCGGGGCCACAATGGAGGATCAAAGTTTTACATAGAAATATATGGGAAAAACCTTTAAAAATCTTCTTCTCAAGAACAGCAAAGCCATGATGAGTCATATTTAAATGGAATCATCCTCAGGTAGTGTAAATTCAAGTTTGTTCAAATCATGACCCCCGGGGGTAGGGCGGGGCCACAATGGAGGATCAACGTTTTACATAGAAATATATGGGAAAAACCTTTAAAAATCTTCTCCTCAAGAACAGCAAACCCATGATGAGTCATATTTATATGGAAGCATCCTCAGGTAGTGTAAATTCAAGTTTGTTCAAATCATGACCCCCGGGGGTAGGGCGGGGCTACAATGGAGGATCAAAGTTTTACATAGAAATATATGGGAAAAATCTTTAAAAATCTTCTCCTCAAGAACAGCAAAGCCATGATGAGTCATATTTATATGGAAGCATCCTCAGGTAGTGTAGATTCAAGTTTGTTCAAATCATGACCCCTGGGGGTAGGGCGGGGCCCCAAAGGAGGATCAAAGTTTTACATAGAAATATATGGGAAAAACCTTTAAAAATCTTCTTCTCAAGAACAGCAAAGCCATGATTGGTCATATTTATATGGAAGCATCCTCAGGTAGTGTAGATTCAAGTTTGTTCAAATCATGACCCCCGGGGGTAGGACGGGGCCACAATGGAGGATCAAAGTTTTACATAGAAATATATAGGAAAAATCTTTAAAAATCTTCTTCTTAATAACAGCAAAGCCCTAATTGATCATATTGATATGGAAGCATCCTAAGGTAGTATAGATTTAAGTATGTCCAAATCATGACCCCCGGGGGTAGGGTGGGGCCCCAAAGGAGGATAAAAGTTTTACATAGAGATATATAGGAAAAATCTTTAAAAATCTTCTTCTCAAGAACAGCAAAGCCCTGATTGATCATATTTATGTGGAAGTATACTCAGGTAGTGTAGATTCAAGTTTGTTCAAATGTTGCCCCCCTGGGGTTGGGTGGGGCCACAATGGAGGATCAAAGTCTGAAATAGAAATAGAAATATATAGGAAGATTTCTTCTGATGAAGAACTGCAAAGCCATGATTAGTCATTTTGATATGGAAGCATCATCAGGTAGTGTAAATTCAATTTTGTTCAAATGATGACCCCCGAGGGTAGGGTGGGGCCCAATAGGGGGATAGAAAATTTTACATAAGAACACATAGAAAAAATATTTCTTCTCAAGAACAGAAAAGCTATGTTTAGTCACATTGATATGGAAGCATCTTCAGGTAGTGTAGATTCAAGTTTGTTCAAATGATGACCCCCGAGAGTAGGACGGGGCCACAATGGAGGATCGAATGTAACATAAGAACATATAGAAAAAATATTTCTTCTCAAGAACAGAAAAGCTATGTTTAGTCATATTGATATGGAAGCATCCTCAGGTAGTGTAGATTCCAGTTTGTTCAAATGATGACCCCTGGGATAGGGAGGAGCCACAAGGGGGGATCAAATTTTTACAAAGGAATATATCAGAAATTTTTTTTAAAATCTTCTCAAGTACAACAAAGCCATTTGTTATTTTGACATGGAAGCATCATCAGGTAGTTTAAAATTCAAGCCCCCCCCCACCCCCCCCCCCCCCCTGGAAACTTTTCAATACTGAACTGATTTGTGCTTTTGCCTATCCACTGTGCTCAGGTGAGCGATGTGGCCCATGGGCCTCTTGTTTGCAGTATGATTGTTAATGGATTGTGTTTGGAATAGTATTAGGGTGCTTTTGATTTGGAATTAGTCTCTTGGTTGTAATGAAGTAGCCTGCAGTGTATTGTTTGAAGAAACCCCTGGACATTCTCTGTCAATAGACAGTCTTCCCTGACAAATAACAGTGAATACTTCATAGTGACAGCTATGTTAAAGTATTGTAACAAATCACTGGTATTGATCTTTTCTCATAAAATCAGAATGAAATGTGCAGATAATGAATTAAAAAGCTCCCAAATTGTAGCTTTTGGCATAATTCTGTTTGTGTGATAAAATCTATTCTAATGGCACTCATCTTTGATGTATCAACCAATTGGATTCTTAATTATGGTATCAGTTCAAAACTAATAAATTGTAACTTTTCATACTTTACACAAGATTGTTTTTAAATGATATTTTCAAACTCTTATATTGCAACTGTAAAAGTCTAAATCAGCTGAACTCATCAAAATTAAAGTTTTTTTTATATACAAATAATTCTCATTTCACATGTTCATAAATATTTGTCATTTGTCCTCAAAAGCTTAGCCATGCAGCCTTACCAATCTGTGAGCAAATTATTGCTGTAAACTTGTTTGGTATCGCACCTGTGACCTGAAGACTATTGGATGTTCTGTCACATGTGATTGCATGGGACATTCACTTGGAGAGGCTAATATCTGCCCCCACAGTGTATTGATTTCATAGCAGTGCCCCGAGGTTTTAATATATACCGTCATTCTCCATGCTGGGTTCTTTCTCCCCATCTTCCCATCATGGTGACTTGACCTTAAATTGAACCTTTTATTTCTTGGTAGGATAATAATTATATTTCCTTAAACCATTTTGATCCTTTAACTATTCTGGTACATGAATGTTTATTAAAACTTCATGAAAAATACTACAATTTAATCTTAAATTAAACCAATGATGAAATTATTTTGTTCTGATGACTGAAATGGTTTTGTGTGTTTGTATGTGTTTGTGGTAGCTAGCATACAATACATGCTGGAAATTTAGAAAGCAATATGAAACTGCTTCAATCAAATAATGTCATAAAGAATAGCATCAAAATAAAAACTTGCTCACTATTCATCAGTTAATAGTGTAGCTGAGCTTTAATTAATTAACAACTAGCTTATTAATTAGTTTCGTATCGCTAGGTTTGCAACTGGGAAATCTTTTGTGAGATGTTAATATTTTCATCAACAAGAAGTAGCCATTGTTTTGATGTCAAACTTTTTTCCAGATATAATAAATGGTTTATTATATATAGATGAAAAACAATGATGTATTGAACTAATGGAGGTATACTCAGATCTTAATTAGCATCTAATTTTCCTGAAAGCTAAATATATATACATGTATTTTTTAATTAAAAAAAACTATTATAATTAATGTTATTAATCTTATAATTTCTAAATGTCTGAAAAATATATATATACCAAAAATTATGATAACAACTGCTGAGTTGAATTCAAGTGAGTTCCAATAGACGATTATATAGGAAAGGTCATTCCTCTTGAATCGTGCACAAATGCCTGGTAATGAACCTCAATTCTTCTGTATGGAAGCTTTTTAAAGTAGAAATACTTAATTCAATAACAAATTATTGGAAAAATTGTATATAATTTAGGAATGTTTTGACAGAACTTTATTGTAACAAAGCCGAAATAATTGATAAATCATCTTAGTTTTCAAATCACTAAAAATAGATAGTTCTACCATAATTTATAATATTTAAGTACTGCAAAGTCTGAGAAGTTATTTTGTAATTTTTTTATAATGGAAAGTTCTTGTACATTTTGTCTCAGAGTTGGATTGCCTGGTGCACTTGATGTTACTTGTTTATAGGTAAAGGTTAAGGCACTTGTTGTTACTTGTTTATAGGTAAAGGTTAAGGCACTTGTTGTTACTTGTTTATAGGTAAAGGTTAAGGCACTTGTTACTTGTTTATAGGTAAAGGTTAAGGCACTTGTTACTTGTTTATAGGTAAAGGTTAAGGCACTTGTTGTCACTTGTTTATAGGTAAAGGTTAAGGCACTTGATGTTACTTGTTTATAAGTAAAGGTTAAGACACTTGTTGTTACTTGTTTATAAGTAAAGGTTAAGGCACTTGTTGTTACTGGTTTATAGGTAAAGGTTAAGGCACTTGTTGTTACTTGTTTATAGGTAAAGGTTAAGGCACTTGTTGTTACTTGTTTATAGGTAAAGGTTAAGGCACTTGTTGTTACTTGTTTATAGGTAAAGGTTAAGGCACTTGTTGTTACTTGTTTATAGGTAAAGGTTAAGGCACTTGATGTTACTTGTTTATAGGTAAAGGTTAAGGCACTTGTTGTTACTTGTTTATAGGTAAAGGTTAAGGCACTTGTTGTTACTTGTTTATAAGTAAAGGTTAAGGTTTGCCTTCTAGTGGTATGTAATCAATACATATATATACAGACTGAACAGAACAAAGATAAATGCAAGTTAGTTGACCGTATATTGAAAATGCAGCATATCTGTTTTAAAAATCTCCTTTACTATAGAGCATCTAAGAGACAAGCTTTATACAGTGTGATTTATGAACATAAGAGTCCTGACACCAAATTGTAAACTTCATATCACAAGGGTCAAGAGTTCCAGTTTCTGAGGTGGGGTTAAGTTACTCACTGTATGAGGACTGAAACTTGTGATAATCAGGTGATAGGGATAACCAGGTGATAGTCAAGGATAACCAGGTGATAGTCAAGGATAACCAGGTGATAGTCAAGGATAATTAGCTGATAGTCAAGGATAATTAGCTGATAGTCAAGGATAACCAGGTGATAGTCAAGTCTAATAAGCTGATAGTCAAAGATAATTAGCTGATAGTCAAGGATAACCAGGTGATAGTCAAGGATAATCAGCTGATAGTCAAGGATAATCAGGTGATAGTCAAGGATGACCAGGTAATAGTCAAGTCTAATTAGCTGATAGGCAAGGATAACCAGATGATAGGCAAGGATTATAACCAGGTGATAGTCAGGGATTAATCAGGTGATAGTCAGGGATTAATCAGGTGATAGTCAAGTATAGGGCTTCTAGTTGTCTCAAATGTTTTAGGCATCCAAAGTACACTCAGTATTCATTTCATGTGCTGTCATTTCCAATCCAAAGATATTGGTGAATACTCAGTTTTCATAATGTAATAAAGATGGCATAAAACATTTCTAGTTGACTAATGTTGTTCAAGAACAAAGAACGCAAATTTTGATTTGATTTAATCTTCAGCACAAAACATCTTACACTCTCAAAGCAGCTCATCAGAACTTTAAATGAACTACAAAAGAAATTTTAAAAAAAATAATCAAATTAAAGACTTCTTTAGTTGCTTAGTAGAATGCTGTAAGAGAATTGCAGTGGGAGCTAGTTGATTAGTTTTTTTTTTTCTAAAAACGTTATTATACTGATAAATTTACAGAACTATTTCACATTGACAAAGAGCTCTGTGCTATACATTTATTTTCCTGTTCTAATGTATGTTGTAGTAATACAGTTATATTTACTTGCTGTAAAAGCTTTTCTTTATTGCAGCAAACCTTTATGAGACATCATTGGGTCCACAGAAGGAGACAGGAGGGCAAGTGTAAGCAGTGTGGAAAGGTAATTGTCCATGGATCAATTTGTTAAATGAACTAAACCTCTAGGAGAATGTACTATAGTACCATTATACAGAGAGAATAGAAGCATATTCTGTGCTTTCATTTCAGAATTATTTATGAAATGATATACAAGTATATACTTTCTGTTCACTCAGTACTTGCTTATTTGTGCCCTCTGCTTGCTCAACATTCACTTAATGCTCACTGGTTTGTGGTCTTAGTTAACTCAACATTTACTTGTTTGTGCTCTCAATTTGATCATTTTTCCCCTCTTTTTTATGATAATTACTTTTACAAGTAGATAAAACACCTGTACAACTATAATTCTACAGGGGTAATCAGAATTTTGTTGTATTTTCCACCATGTTTGCAAAATCTGAGCAAAAGAGAGCACAAATAAAAGAATGCTAAGCATATGAGAGCACAAAAAAGTGAATGCCTAGCAAATGGATAGCACAAATCTATGAATGCTGCTGAGTAAACAGAGAGCACAGACCTGTGAATGCTGATGAACAGAGAGCACAACTAAGTGAGTGCTGAGCAAACAGCACAAATAAGTGAATTCTAAGTGAACTACAAACTATGAATACTCTGTAAAAGCAGTAACCACTGAGCAAACACTGAAAATAGTAATATAATATTATCACTAAAAAATATTTACAATTAATGGATTAAGATATATTAGGGGAAAACTAAGTAGAATTGTTTACCAATATAAATCCTATTTTAATTAATGGGGGAAAAAAAGAATCGAAAGTCATTTCCATTTAGTTTAATCAGAAATATTGGTGAAGGCTATAAGAGATGAAATTATGTACTCATACATTGAACCTTGGTGAGGCTGTCATAGTTCCTGTGATTTTTAATAATGTCCATAATCTGATTAGCAAATGATGCCCTGAAATTCTGAGACCTTGATAAGAATTTTTCAATTTAATATGGGATATTGCTAGTACCCAATATTTTACAAATTAGGTCCCAGAAATGCCAGTCCTGACTTTTATATCTCTATATTTGTGCGAGTTAAACTAAAGCTATCAAATCATAGTGGTTGGTTCGGATAGAATTAAACGTGATAAAAAAAAAGAGGAAAATTTCTTGTTTGTTTGAAGGACACATTACAAAAGATTGAAAACTATACACTCTAGAGTAGACTGTACACAAAGCAATAAAGGAATTTTATTGCAAGATTATACAATATTGGGTCAAACACAATTTCAAGCTGCCCCAGTAATCATCCTTTTGTGATGTTGGTTCTAGTACGTTGACACATATTCTACTGTTATAAAATACGAACACTTCAAAAAGGAAATACCTAATAACTCCGCAGAGATCAATAGTCAAGCCAGAAATCCAGTCACGAGTTAAACAATTAAAACAATGGATCGTCATAGATTTAAGGTGTGCTTAGGGTTACAGCCCTAATTAATAGGTGCAATTATGTTGCAGGTAAACAGATTTTTACATAAATCGTAAACTACTTCACAATTCGGAACATTTAAAAACCTGGCGGTACTTAAAGAATGCATATTGTTTTTCTAACACCTACGTGATTGGAAAGTTTCATAATTTGAATTGATTTATATTTGCTAGGATAGTCTCCTCTGAAAAATTTGTGTTTATCTCATACTGTATCAAATATTGTAGGTGACTTAATAAACTTCCTGGTATCGACAAAGTTAAATAATAATTTAATAACAGTTGGAAATTGGTTCAAGAGCCATCGTCATATTTGTTTATGTATTGGCTGCTGTGGTTGTTAAACTGCCTACGGGTTTTTTCACTAGCATGACTAGTGACAAAAACTCACCCAATGCCATGTTATCTGTAGTAGAAAATGCACCAGTATTAATATTAAAAGAATTTTTTTTTTAAATCTTCCGTAAATGATGTTCAATATTGAATTTCTCCTGTCACAAGATTTAAACATGCTCATTGATTTTAATTTTTGTTTTACAGTCGTTCCAGCAGAGATTTGCATTCCAAAGCAAGGTATCATTTAGAATTTTTCTCATTAATCTCGCACAACATCAGAATCATTTCCATCACGTCTTTGATTGAAATGAAATTTTTTTTTATCCTGCATGTCTTCAGGTACATGTGACAATATCTAAGTTAACAAGTTCATGAATAGGGCAATATAAAATGAGACATGACTGAAATTCATACATAGATACACGTATCATCAGTGCTCAATATCTATTATTGCAAGAAAATGCATTTCCGCAAAAATGTCCTCTTTTTCATTTGCTGAAAGAACTGCCTCTCATTAAGAAGTTATGAATGAAATTCTTCCTTGGTTTTTCTGAGGGCGTTTGGTTGGTTAAAAAAAGATATATTCATTTTGATACAAAAAATGGTATAATTATTGAAAAATCTCTGTATCTTGAGAAGTCATTTGGAATTATCCACAGGTAAAGCAATGCACATCAAATTTGTTCAAATAATGGCCCCTGGGGGTAGGATGGGGCCAGAATAGGGGATCAAATTTAAACATGGGAATATATAGGAAAAATATTTAAAAATCTTCTATTTAAGAAACATGATTAGTATATATTAATATGCAAGCATTCTCAAGTAGTGCAGATCAAAGTTTGTTCAAATCATGGCCCCTAGGGGTAGGATCGAGCAACAGATAGGGGATCAAAGTTAAACATTGCATAATTTCACAAAAAGCAACACTTGTGATAAAGGATACTCACTTTTATTCTTATTGCTGATTACAGAAATACATTTAAAAGCTGGTCTTGATGAAAGAACATTTGAGAATTCATATTCTCTTGATTAGTTGTCTACAAGTCATTTCATGCTATCAAGTACTAGTAAGATAAGGAATCTACTTTATCCATTTCGCAAAAATGATGTCCTCAAAAATTTTGACAGATATTTTAAGATATATTTCAGCATTTCAAATATTGTACTACTTTTTCTGAGTATAGATTTGTGAAACTGATATTGATAAAATAATAGAAATGTTTCATTTTTGTGATCGAGATGTGTGTAGAATTCAGACAGATTACTTCCCTATTGAATGCTATTAAGTACACAAATGACAAGAATATGCACATGTCTTCAATACATAGACAATTTAATATAGTAATGAACAGTTTTGTATGTTATGAAGGCATGAATTTCCTAGTTTTTATGTTGAAATTTCACATAGGCCGGTTGAAAGTTGATTCAGTGGTATATTGATAGGACCATTTTGTGCATAAGAATTAGAACCTGTCTTATTAGATACATTTTTATTTTAGCAACATAATATGCCACATTGTTTTCCCCCAGAGATGTGTACGCACCAGTGTGTGTGTTTGACAGACTCAATTATTTGTTTCTTCTTTTTGTTATTAAGAATCTGATACTCAGTGAAAGTATGGTTTTCTGAAGTAGTTCGATAATTCAGCATTATTATTTTTTAACCAGGTCAGATGTACTACATCCTTTAACCATTTTGTATGATTTTTTTTTCCGACATAGATATAATATAGGCCACACCTTTATAATTACCTCCTGGAGAAATGACTTAACATTGAAATGAAAGTAATAAAGATATAAGTTTAATATTGCAGGGATGATCAAGATAATGCTACCACAAATTTATGAGTTTCATTTTGCCTTCTGTAATACCAATACAGAGTGTCCTTATCCTCATTACTTGGTACAGGAATACTTAAAGTGCAAGGGAAAGGTTGTTAAGGAACTTATTTATTTCAGGATACAAGATTCAAGGTCAAATCAGAAAATGCAAAAAGTTCTATGTTGTATTTGTAAGATGCATATTTCCAGTTTTAAGTCCCCTATGGTGAAACTAAATGGGATTGTCTCTGTATCTCTACATCTGTCTGCATTTCTTTTGTCCTTTTGTCTGTTAGTCTATCTGTTTCAATTGGATTTCTAGATTCTTTTCTAGACACTTGTATATATTAAATTGATTTTTGGTATACATAGGTCTAATTCGATGAGTTATTAGATCAAATTCATATTTCATTCATGTAAGGGGGTCCATATAGGGGATGCAGTATTGACAATTATGCAGTTCTTTCAGAATACTTGTTCTTATCTTTTATGTAATGTTCTGTTGAATCATAGATACTTGTATTAAAATTCTTAAGTATTTTATTTTGTTTTTTGCAGGAAATAATTGCCATCAGCTGTTCATGGTGTAAGGCAGCCTATCACAACAAGGTGTCATGCTTCATGATGCAGCACATAGAGGAGCAGTGTACACTGGGTGCCCATCAGAGCATCATTGTTCCACCATCATGGATCATAAAACTTCCAAAAAAAGTATGCAGCATTTCTCCAATCTTGTGTTCATGTGCTGTTCCCTAGAACTGTCATTGATAGATTCGATACTGATGTATTGTGGATTTAAATTCTTTTCATACAATATTGATATTTTGTTTTTAGTATCAATACATTTCTCATTGTTTTTTTTTTCTTTTTCAGTGGTAAAGAGCTTATTGTTTATAGGTTTTGGGCTTTTGTTTCTTTTTTTTTTGGGGGGGGGGGGGGGGGGTTATTGTTTCAACATTTTATAAAAAGAGATGCAAATTTAAAACAGAATTGGGAAATAAAAATTCTTTAAGATTATTTTTTGGTTCTGATTATTTTTCTGCATATTGTCTTCACAAATCTTAGCCTTATTTTTTGCCTTATTTTTTGAAGTGTGAAGGACCGATTTATTGTATTTGAACAAGAAAATTATAAAATCATTTTTTTTACGCAAGTTCGAATGACCTCATCTATTAGTTTACTGTCAGATGACGCTTCAAACAGAAACCTTTATTGAATCTATGCTAAGGAAAAGAGTGCAAAAACTGATATATGGTCAAAAGACACAAACTTTAAATTAAAAAAAAAAAAAATGAAAGTAGTATGACAATTTTTCTACAAATATAAAAAGTAATTGTAACGCATTTTGAAAATTGTGATCTTTTCATAATCATTGCATACATACACACTATTGGGATGCATAAGGTTTTCATAACTGATTCAGTGTTAAACTTGGCTTCTGGATTTGTCAGTTTAATTTGGACCTGTTTTATTCAAATTATGGTATGGCTCTTAATTCGCTCTTGAGTACATCTGGGAGGACAAATAAAGAATTCTGTAGACATGTTTTTTTTGTTAGATTTCTTTATGTGTATTTCAAGTTTTGACTCTAAATAGGACAAAAAAATGTTTGAATAGATAATCAAGTCAAAAATAAATATTTTATTAATGTTTGAAATATGTGTCACGTAACACATGACAGACATATAACGTAACATGACAGACGTATGATAAAACGTGACATGATTAAATTACATTTCTGATGCTTAGCAATACAAATGATCTGTAAAAAATAAAATTAAACAATTCTTTAAACAATGCAAAAATTGTTTTCACTCTTACGTAGAAGAAAAAAGATTTTTAAGCTACTTTTGATGCACAAACTGATGATCGTAACACTGACAGACTCCTTTACTTACCCAGCCAAATAAACCATAAACTTTCATTGTTTTATCAAAAAGATAATGTTGCCGTAAGAAATGGACATTATTCAAATTTTGATTCCTTATAGATTTTAAATTTGATTTTTCAAAAAATAAATCTCTGCTATACACTTTGTAACATACAAAATTTCCACCATGTCTGTCATTTTACGATATCTCTTGAGCAATACCTGTTTGAAACGAGCCAATAAAATTTATCATTCAAAGCTTATCTTTTATTCTTGGAAACTATAATACACAAGACATTATTATTTATGAAATAACTAATGAAATTCAAAAAAATTAATTATTTCATATAGATCAAACCTATATCGTAACATGTACGGATGCATATAACCCTGACAGACTCGTTTTAAAAACTGCAAGAAAACAACTACAAAATGGTATTGTTTAAGTTATAAAGACAAATTTTGCCTTATGATACACTAATATTCTTAAATAAAAATACTTTTTGGTTTAATTCACTGAACGTATAAATCTGAATGCACCCGTTTGATTCACGTAGCATGAACAGACATTCGTTTTGTCCGTCACCGTTACGATAGTATTCAGGCAATGTCTGTCAATCTGTACGTTATGTAAGAAATGTCAAATTTTAAGTGTTTATATAGTGATGAAGAGCTTGCAAGTTCATTTTTTTTTTTTTTTTAAATCCAAAATACACCTACTAGCTGACAATATTTGATGATATGTGTTTAAAATTTAGGATAAAGACAACTTATATTTTCATGAACGTAACATACTTTGTGTAATGTAACACTTGACAGACAAACGTTCGTGGCTTCTCCGGCTCTCTCTGTAGCTCTTCTTATCGAAATGTAAACACATTTGCATAGAACACTGGAGAAAATTTAAATATTCATAACCTTTAAGTCAAATGTATAAGAAGAAGCATCTCCGAGCTCCATTCTTGAAATAGAACGTAACTCCCACTTGCCCTGACAGACACAGGAAGCATCCCACAGATTTGTTAATTTCTAAGCACACATGCTTTTCTGTTGAATCTGCGATCACTTAATTGATAAACAGGTGAATTTTCTATCGGTAGACAAGAAAGATAAAATAGTATGCATAAACAATGGCCCATTTTATAACAATGTACCCGGTGTATTGAGTCTGACAGACGTTACGTTCAAAATATGAGAAGAAATAAATTCCAATTTTTCTTTTATTTTAGACATAATGTGCATTAAAATACTTTTGTATGGTAATTTTATCCTTCCTAAACAGTAGTGAATGAAGATATTCTGTGTACAAGGTATTATCGCCGTATATTTGACTTTTATTTTGACATGGTTGAAAATGTCCCCCTACACACGCATAATTCTAGTGGAATTATCAAATTCATTTCAAGAAAAAAAGTAAGTTGATGAAAAAATCTGCTTATTTTATCTTTTTTATATATTTGCAATATACTTTTCAGTAAAAAACATTTCTTATTTCAATTTTTTAAATAATTTATTTTATATTCCTCTTGTTAAAATCATAGGTCAAGATGTACTCAAGAGCGAATTTAGAGCCGTATAAGGTCTCCAGCACAATGAAAATGGCAACAATGGGGAAGTTTCTAAATTCAAGAAATTCATAAATTTGACCCCCATCTTTCAGTACTATATCAGTAGTTTGATCTTTACATGTTGTATATTTTATACTGATATATATTTTTTTTGCAGGGGTCTTTCAAATCATCATTGCGAAAAAAGAGGCGAGCCTCTATAAAACGGAAGAAAGGCAAGGAAGAAAATCGTCCATTCATAATCAAGCCCATTCCCTCCCCCCTTCTTAAGCCACTTCTAGTTTTCATTAATCCCAAAAGTGGTGGAAACCAAGGGGCCAAACTCATGCACAAGTTTTGTTGGTGGTTGAACCCTCGACAGGTGTTTGACTTGTCACACGGAGGACCACGACCAGGGTATGATATGGAAATGTTTGTGTGATAATATACTGTGAACCAACTACTTTTTTCTGTGTGGTATTAACTTACACTATGTATGTGGTCACAAATTTTTTGCGTCCCAACGTACTTAATTAAGAATATTGAAGCCATATAGAGGCAATTAATCTAAGAAATCCATGTAATTTTCTACCCACGGATTAAACAGAAATTTGATTCTGCAGAATTTTGACCCAATGGTAAAAAGTATGTTTACAGTTTTATTTCCAACTTATATTCATGATGAGTAATTTGAAATCAATATTTGACTTTTAATTTGTGCAGCTGCCGAAATATTCTTCATAAATACACAACTAAATAATTGATTCTTGGCAAGAAATATTAAGGATTCGAATAATGTTGCTGATATTTCTTGCAACCAACTCGCTGATATTTTTCATGGCCAAACTCACCGGTATTTCTCATACAGGAATAAAATTTGGTTAACGATACTGAGAGTTAAGCTGCCTACTTTTCATTTGCTCTGATAGCAAAGTCGAAGTAACAGAAAATTTATCTTTGCACTCTGCTGCAAGCTTCTCATATCTAGAGAAACAAAATACATACACAGCTATGAAGGCTTAATATGCATTAGATATATACTATTTTATTTTGAGCTATGTTTTGATTTCAATTTTTAATCTATGTACACATACACAGTCAAGTTTTAAAGAGAGTTGAATAAGGTATTACATGTATTAAAAAACATTTTTGTGATGTCACATGACTGTGTTGATCATATGACTGACACTTATAAATTTTCTTAAATGTGGCACAAAAATCGCATCGGCACAAGTGAAAAACAATATTATTGTGAACGGCTTGTTACATAAATCAATTAAAGGTATTCTTGGGTATATATAAAGTGCTGGGGGCAAGTCTAAATTTTACTTCTTAAGAAAATATTTCACAAGAAATTCAACATACCCGCTTACAAGGGGTCATTTTCCACTCTTCATCGCAATTTTTTACAAAATGGGATATATTACATTCAATCCCCCAGCATAATTCAGTTAGAGGACATATTTCTCTAGTAGATTCACACAGAATATCTTCAATTAATCCTTATTATTCACTTGTGCCAGTCTAATATATATAAGATTTATAAATCCTAACTCTGTCTACGGACGTGTAAGGGGGAGCATTTCACTTTCTTTTTTTGTAATTGTCTGAATACGTGCATGTTAGACAAGAAAAAGAAATGACGATATTACACTGCAAATATTCACCATCATAAGAGCCTTAAAACAACAATCAAGACGCAAGAATTTAGCATCAAAATAAACAAAATTCTACATGTGATGTGAAAGGAAATCAATGTAAAAGTTATGACACTTTCCCCGTCATGTCAGCTCAAGTATGCAGTGACTTGACGTCATATGCCATTATGACGTCATATCTAGGTAGTTTGGAGAAGTTAACTACGGCTGATACACTGTGTCATTCTTCGGACAGCCTTATCCTAGCCGCGTATTGCAGATACACATGTGTATGATAAGACTTCATATCCTTAATAAATATGTTTATTTTATCTCATTGTTAAGCAAAAAAGTTATAAATGTACTCTGAATGGAATAACTTCCCATTTTGGAAATTTGAGCCCATTTAATTTCTATTAAGTAAAAGGTGAAATCAGACCAAATACACAAAAGAGAATACAAAGAGACCCTCATGAATACAAAAGCTATTTAATGTGTGGACTACCCGTACATAAACGATGAGTCGTATTTGCTAGATGTTCTGGACCGTAAGCCACACAGTATCACCCTGCTAAATCTTTTGAAGTTAAAAGTCAATAAACAGATGATGAGCTGAAATTCTCCTTATCTCTGTCTTTCTCTTCCATTAATGGATTTTTACAAAGAACAAAGATTAAAAAAAAAACTTCCAAGGAAAATGGAAAATTCTGTAATGCAGTGCTAGCAATTTTAATGAAAAGTGATCTATCAGTAAACCCTCTTCATCTTTGTGTCAGCTAAGACTGTTTATGGATATAATGACTGTCTTTTGTTTTGTTTGACTTTCAGTTTTATTATTTATGAGCTTTTACATTACCGTATTTTTAATAACAAAGGAAAAGGTATTAAAAATTGAAGACTCCTGATAATAAAACTCACTTCAAATTAGGAGAGGAAAGATGAAACTAAAGGAGTGATACTGACCCTGTTATTAAAAGTACTTAGTTGGGTTCATTATATCTAGGGAATAAAATGTCTACAGGCAGCACTAAACAATCCTAATGGAAGTGCATTTCGTACAAACCTAGTTGTGCAATAGGTTTAAATTTATTATATACATAAACTAGTCTTTTCATTGAAAATTAATTGTAGTCATAACTAAGGCATACAACCAATTTTATATTCGTTGGGAAAAAAAGTATTTGAATATCAGTTATTTAGGTTACAATAAAATATTATTACAGTTTTATCTGTTTAATATAATGAAGTAAGAAAAGTACCAGTGTACTGTGTACAGTTCAACTTACGTATCTCAAACATTGATGTCTCAAATAATATTGCTTTGTCTAAACGAGTTTGAAGTCCCAACCAATTTTGTTTGTTTTAACCTCGGTATCTCAAATCCTGAGATGTCTTTCTCGGTCCCAAAGACTTCAATAGTAATGAGATGTGACTGTGGTACATCCTTCAATGAAAAAACCGAGTCCTTTAATTTAAATTGTTTCTCCATTACAGACTTGAGCTGTACAAGAAAGTGCCTAACTTGCGTATCCTGGCTTGTGGAGGAGATGGCACAGTGGGCTGGATCCTGTCCGAAATCGACAGTCTGGGCATTAAACCTCCACCTCCTGTTGCCATCATGCCACTGGGCACGGGGAATGATCTCTCTCGAACCCTCAACTGGGGAGGGGTAAGTCTAGGTGTTTTGAGTGATGGTGCAAATTTAGAGTTTGATACCGGATCAAAAACAAGTTTTAAAAAATTTAAGAACATTTTGTGAAACACCAGTGACACAGAGTTGAAGGTTTCTTTAAGATTGTCTCACTTTTAGATTGTGTTGAAATTATAATAATAGTTAATGGTGAACTTGGCTGGAATTCATCTTGGGTTAGAAGGTGTGGCTTCTGCAAATACCAAAAGCTTTACAATGATTTGGGTGGTTTTCATGTAACCACCATGGGCTCTTCAAATAATGAGCTTATAGCTGAAGCCCCTTGATTTCTTTTGGGTCATGAGTTTGAAGGACATATGGCCTCTGTTTTTAAATATGGTTATTTTATGCCATGCAATTACTTCAGATGTTTTGAATACAATGCTCACATTACCCATCTTCCATGTGCTGTAACAGCAGTTGAAAGTAACTTGTAATTTTGTACAGGGGACACAAATTTATGGGATTTTCTTGTTCTCTAGTGATTGTTTAAATTTTTATCTTAGGAAATTTATGAGAAAAACCCAATGAAAAATTCTGGGACATCCTTGAGATGTTTATTTTATTTCCTCTTGCATCTCACTAAGGGCATTCAGAGACTATGAATAATGGCAGGAATCATTGACAAGAAAGCATTCTCATGTTATCTTGGAATACATCAGGTTGTGACATTGGTGAATTCATTTTCTCAAGGTTTGAGAACAAATAAACCCCAAATATTTTTTAAAACATTATAAACCTTTCAGAGGAGGTCTTTAAACTGAATCAGGAATTTGATTTAGAAATTAATCTTGCATAGGGAAATGATGTTTGTCCTAAAGAAAATTGCCGTTTTTGATTTTGTTTAATTTTATCTTTAGGGATATGCAGATGAACCAATTACCAAAATCCTTAGTTATGTAGAAGAGGGCCAAGTTGTTCAGCTTGACAGGTTAGTTATTGCAGTGAAATCACAGTATCATAGTTTATATATACAATGGCGCCGCGTTTATCCGGACGCCATTTATCCGGACGCTTCACCATCCGGACGATATTTTTTGGGAACCGATTTTTTCCACGTTATTTTGTCTCATTAATCCGGAAATTCGCGTTCCGTATCCGGACGGTCAATTTCTACTACAAAACATAATAGTTCATTGAAAAGTGACCCGTTTATCCGGACGGTAATTTTTCAAGAAACGACATTTTCACACTTATCTTGCATTCGTGTTAACTGTTGTAAAAACATTGGCCATGCAGTCAGTTTGAAGGCGGTTACCTGTGACCTACAAACAATAGCGTCTATAATTAGCGTGTGTTTACCCCAATTCAATCACACGTTTATCTTTATTATGAAGCTCAAAGAATTTAGCTGACAATGTGCATTAATTAAATAACAATCCGTTCAAAATTATATTGCTAACCGTATATACATCGGTAAATTCAGGAGAATTTTGGAGAGATGTAAATAAAATGAACAATAAATAGCGAGCGATTTCGTAATGCTCTTTATCATGTCGATTGCGTTAGTTTAAAATACGATGTTCCATTTCTAAAAAACGTAAACAAGACAGCATAGAAAGGTACATAATTGAAGAAATATCTCTATTTAATGTACTACCGTTTACAAACGCCCCGGCATTACATATAAAACTGGCGTTACGATCAGAAGTTGATTACGTTTTTCCAAGGTATTTTTTAACAATCGAAATTCAAACTTAGCGTCTGTAGAAAAAAAAAAATAATATTGATAATCATGAAGATGGCTTGCGTTTACGAATGTTTTTAATACTTTGTTTGAGTTAGTTTGCAGTGTTCAGTTAATTTTATAGTAACTCTGTTAATGAATATACGGGGAATATACAGGGTAAGTTTATATTTGAACATTTTCAATGATGATGCTGAACAGTTGTGTCATATCATATGAGCTTCAATAATTATAATATATGGCAAAATAAAACAGTAGATCAAAATTTGCTCAACCCATGAAGTCACATGCCAAAGAGAAAGCGAATTAAAAAAGGGGGTATCGGCATAAAATTGCCCATCCATCTTTTTTTATTGTGTAAATTACATTTTAATATATTTTTTCATTAATCAATTACTGCTTTTAAAACAATTAACCAAATTATAATTTAAAAGTTTTTTTTTTCTTTGCTGTCACATTTGAAACAAGAATGTGCATATATACATGCTTAGAGAATGCTTTTTGAGATGTGATTCAATTATCCGGATGATTCATTTATCCGGACGATTTCGTTGGGGACAGAGGCGTCCGGATAAACGAGGCGCCACTGTACAGTGTATATATAATACAGTTGAACTTCAGTATCTAGAACACCGATATCTCAAATGTCATGGATATGTCGAAGTGCTTTGGAAGACCCAACCGCTTATTCTTTAAGTTTTTAACCCTCTTCAGATATCTCAAAATTTTTCATTGGTCCCATCAAGTTTGAGATAATAAGGTTTTACTGTATTTCATCATTTCATGTAATGGAGGGAAACGGTTGAAAAATATGTGTAGTACATGTATTAAATGTCAAGAAAACTTTGGCATTCTCTAGGGGCTTAGGATATTTGAGGGGCACCAGGAATTACATGTTACTGGAATAATTGGAATGTTTCATATGCACAAATGATACTGCTCTTAAAATTAAGGTGATCCTTATATGCACAAATTTTGTCCACTTGACAATTTTTGAAATGTTTTTCAAATGTTGTCACCCTCTGCAGTATAATATCACCTGTGAAGGAACAAATCATTTATATGAGATATGCTGCAGAATGTTTTTTCACTCATTGCTTTTTCATTATTTTACATGAAAATAAAACATAACTGAAGTTCAAGGTAATATATGCAAGATTTGGAAATTTAACGTAAGAGTTAGCAGTGTATGTAACTGTAGTTTCAACAATCATTCCCTTGCCCATATATTCATCAGATTCTTCCAACTGAAGCGTGAATCATTACAGAAGATGCTGACCTTGCATACATATGCTTTGATTTGATTGGACACCAATTTGTCCCAGATGGACAGTTGGCTAGTATAATTGTTGTATAGTCTTAGAGTCTTAGTCTCTGAGGCCTGGAATTCCTGCTGAATGATCCGTTCTTGTAGCATTTGTCCACAGTGAAATACTTTAAGCATCATTGTCTAGACAGGGAAAAATCATTTCTGTTCACAAGTCTGACCTAAAGGGCATCTTTAGGTTCCCTTCTCGATGGATCAACCAATTTTCCTTGATCAATCAACCTTGGCTTGTTAAGCCAAACAAATTTACTCTGCCATATTATTTCAATGGGAGGGGGCAAAAAATTTTGATACAATACGATATTTTATAAAGCGATATGCAGTATATTGGATTCTTTAACAAGTCTATCATAAAAGTCTTGTAAATCATTTAATGCATAGATTTTATAAAAACTGAGTGTTTTATAACCCATTTCCAAGTTCTTGTCTAAATGTCATTACAAAATACACTTCAAATTCAAACTTTTTAACAACTGTAAAACCAACATGTTTAAAGTACAGTTGTGCGTGTATTTTGTAATATTTACATTTGCTGACTAAGCCAACTGTGAAATTGATTTGAAAGTCATTTTTGTGTATACTCGCGCGTAGAAATATACACGGTGAAACTCGAGCAAAAGTGACGTCACAATGAGGCCACAGAGATGTTAATAAAAATGTAACGATATAGGGCAACAAGAAATTCAAATATTGAGTATATTATTGGTGCTTTTAAGGCAGGTCGCTGGTTTAAAAATTCGCGCCTTCTGCGCATGATGACGCACATAAGTCGTAAAACAAAAGCTAAGTTGAAAATAATTCTTAAGCAGTCTTAAATGGTCACTCGTATTAAAATAATAAAAAAGCAATACTTCTAGGAGTTTTCAGTGAATTAGATTCATTAAAATACAATCAGAAATATAAATGTATGCACTTCCGGTTTTTCAGTAAACACCTTCATTTTCACCGTGTTCAATCAGAAACCCGGGGTCTCAACAATAGTTCAGGGTGTTTCGCTTTTAATTAATGAAATGTCAGAGATGATGAACAAAATAATAAGAATATGGGTATCATTTCTATGTACATTTTAGCGATTCATTCACGTTCAACAACTTCTGTAATGTGCTGCATTTTTAGTGTTTACAAAATGAATGACAAGGTAAGCACAACAATCTTGTGTGTTAACGATTACTGTAGGTATATTCAGGGACTTAGCTTGACTTAAAATTCTATAGTGAGGCAAAACTATTGCAGCCGGGATGTGGGGAGCACCTTAGCCCACAGCAGGTCTAGGGAGGAGCTATGAAGGGGGGTTCAGGGGGCGAAGCCACCCGAAGAAAAATGCATTGTTCTTTTATAGGGTTTTAGGCATAGAATGAAAAAATCATACTTGTCTTGGACAGAAATTTCGTAAGGTTTACAAGTTTCAATATTTAAACCTCAGTTTGCATTTAATCATAAGATGCTGCATTTTTTTTTTTTTAAAAAGGTTTAATATATTAAATAAAAAATGTTTTTTCAACATTTTCAAACTTCTAACACATTTAAGAAATAAAATATCATTTTTAGAGTTTCATTGGGATATGACATGAAGTCGGTCAGGTGATCAAATTCTATAATGCCCAAAGGATGTTTTAGTAGATTTGATCACACCCCAACTTCATGTCATATCCCGATGAAACTCAAAAAATGATATTTTATTTCTTATACCTACATTTTACTTTTTATTCTTGTTACAAAGAAATATAGGCACTATTTAGACTTTGCTATGGAAATGCAACATAACATAGCAACAATAGATATTTTATTAATTTTATATGAAAATACAACATTTTATAGATTTGTTTAAATGTTAAATATATATAGAATCTCCCATGATATATGGTTGAATATGATTTTTATTCAACAAGTTGTGTATTTTTTTTATTCCTGAGCCTTGGCGAGGGGATAAAAGCACACAAGTTGGATAAAAATCATATCCAACCACAAATCTCGGGACATTCCTTTTATCAAATATCAAAAAAAAAATATCCAATGAGTGATATCCACGGGATAAAGGGGTAAACATGGGATAAAAACCATTAGTTTTAAAACAAATATTTTCTGCAATGTATTCAGGGATGTTGCTGAAAAATCTAATGAGGCAGTTGCCACAATTGTAGCTACTCCCCTGATATTATTATTTTTATCATCTGTAAAATGCATTCAATAAGGAGCAGATCAGAAAAATTTACAATGAAAAGGATTCTGTATGTCCAGTGCACAGATTGTGGCTCCATGAACAAAGTGTATTAACATTGATTAAGGAAAGATGCTTTACCCAACAGACAATGTCAAAGGTTGGGGAGTATTTGATATTAATGTCAAGGTTGCTACAGGTTATTGAATATAATTTATAAGGATATATTTTTTTGTCATTATAGGACTAGAATGCATCATATGAAATGAAATTTTAGTTAATTATCAATAACGAAATATTTTAGAAAGGGGCATACCACTGAGTCACTGAATTTTGTACATGAATGCTTGCCTAGAAAAAGAATTACATGTACATATATATATTTCTGCTTGCAGATTTGGATTTGTTTACTATAGCCTACCTCTTCTTTCAAAATTATAAAGTCAATTGATTATAAGAACCTTTAGGTTGAAAACCTTTATTCCTTTTCTTTTAATTGCTCTAATAAATTTTTCTCAATTAGAATACATGAAATTTTTGAGTGAAGTAACTTTTTTATCCCTGATTTCTGTACAATATGATGACACAAACCTGGCACTAAGCAAGATAAGCGTACCGGTACTTATGATGTGTTAATTATAAATGTGCGTTATTGTTTACATGTAGAGTACACTGTATATATTATATATACATGCAGTATGCATTTCAATAATAAAATGAAATATTTGGAGATTATATTTCAAAAGTATGGTGCATGCTGGAACGTGAGAAACACATTTCAATAATCTATTCCCCACCATGAATATATATACACTGTAGTCCTCATAAAACTGAAAAATCATAGATGTTGCATATTCATAAGTTTTATGCTTCCTTTGTTTTCATCCTTTATATGTATGTTATTGATAATGATTCAATTCAAGCAGCCTATATCTAGCTCTAAATCTGGTATATATCTTAATTGACATGACTCAGTCTGTAATACACATGTACTAGTTGAATATAATTAATATTTTATATATTGACTAGTCTTAAAAAATATTCTTATGAAATTAAGTTGATTGAAATACTTATTTATATGCAACTTAGGAATTATTTGTAAAGTATGCAGTGTGTTAAGGGGAATAAATTTTGCTTTAAAGCAGTCTGATTATTAGTCCCCTACAAGTTTAACCAGAGGGGACTATAGGTTTCCTCTTCGTCTGTCTGCCCATCTATCTGTCTGTCTGTTTAGTTGTCTAGCTGTCTCTTTGTCTGTCGGTCTGTCCCACTTGGTTTTCCGTACTTTTTTCTAAACGCTTGGAGATATTGAGCTCATTTTTGGTATGTGAATGTATCCTGATGAGTTATAGATCAAGTTTGCATTCGGTTTTGCTTCATTGATTTTTGACAGAATTATGACCTTTTAAATTTTTAATGGTTTCCACATTTTTTTTAAAAGCTTGAACATATTGAGCTAATTTTTTTAAATGAGACTTTAAATTAATTGATAGATCAAGTTTGAATTTCATTCCGCTTCATTGATTTTTGACTGAATGAGGACATTTTCAATTTTTCATGGGAACCAGATTTCACTTGCCAATAGGGGACTAGTATTGCTATGGCAATACTCACAGAATGCTTATTTACCATCGTTCTATTATTTCTATATTTTTTTATACCTGTTGTAATTTTGTCATTATACATGATATTCAAAAGATGCATACATGCATTTTAATTTGATTCTATTCCTACATCAGTATGATCAGTGTTGCTGTATTTTCTACACAGTCTCATAACATATAACATATACATGTATATTCTAGACATTCAAGATGTAAAGCCACTGTTTTATTAAAGTTTTTATTCCAACTTTCCTACAATTGGCCTTGACCTGTGGTCTTAAAATTTGGAAAGTTTATTGAAAAAATGTTTGCAAGCATGCACATTTCTCGAGATATATGATCATGCATTCTCTCTTGCAATATATATAAAACATATGCAAGAATACCATCCGGTCATGTACTATAAATGCATATTATATTAATTATTATTATAATATACCCCCCACAAAGTTTGGGTTTATATAGGAATCACCTTGTCCATCTGTCCGTTTGTCTAGCTGTCTGTGCATACATGTCTGGTCCATATCTTTCTTACGGAGGAGCATTAGAATCTTCTACTTCACACAAAGATTGCTCATGACCTAAGGGTGTGTCAAGTCCTTAACCGAAGGACATGACCTGAGGGTGTGTCATGTCCTTAACCCAAGGTCATTTGGGCAAGTTCAAAGTCACTGAAAGAAAAAGTTCATAATTCGTGTCCGGTCCATATCTTTCTTTTGCAAAAACTTGAATCTGGGTCATTTGGGAAAGTTCAAGGTCAGTGAAAGAAAAAGTTCATAATTCGTGTCTGGTCCATATCTTTCTTATGCAAAAACTTGAATCCAGGTCATTTGTGCAAGTTCAAGGTCACTGAAAGAAAAAGTTCATAATTCATGCCGGTTCCGTATTTTTCTTATGGATAAACTTGGTGAGTTACCATTTTACACAAAGATTGCTTATGACCTAAGGGTGTGTCAGGACTTTGATCCAAGGTCATTTGTGCAAGTTCAAGGTCACTGAAAGGAAGAGTTCATAATTCCTGTTCGGTCCATATAATCAGTATTGATGTTCAATTAGGCTACGCCTTAGTTTCAGTTATTAAAAATTTATAATGATCAATTACCAGTTAATGTTTAAACAAATTCTGAACACCAATCATAGTATTAGTGACTTGGCACCTTCTCTGAAAAACCTAGCTGGGGGTATAAGTCCACTTTGGACAGTTCTAGTTAATTTTATTTCATAACCTTGACCTTATAATTATGACCTTGAACATTAAATGATCTATTGTGAAGACATAGGTGATTAAAACTAAAACACAATTAAATGTAAGAAATTGATGGGTACACATTCTGCATTTATTATGAATTCATTCAAAACTTGCATTTCCTGATAAATCAATATAACAGATAAACCAGTAAAAGTTTTTGAACTTTTGTCAATGATAAGAAAATTTAGTCCATAACACCCAATTTTTTTTTTTATTTTTCAGAAGGTGAATATTTGAGGATGATTTGGTATAAATTTCAAATAAATCCTATGTTTGTGTCTTTTTTAATAGTAAAATGTAGAAGGTATTGTCGGTTTTCCCTATATAATCCTATGTAAAATTACACTTAGGACCAATAAAAATGACCATATTTTGAGCGCTGTTACCTGACAAACTAGTCGGAGAATATTTTTCTTTCTTGGCACAGAGTTTACTTATGAACTGACAATTCACCATACAAAATTTTTCAAAAATCGTATGTTTGGAACTTACACCCACGAGACTCCTTAAACTTGTAAAATGTAAATATAAGGAATGTTTTTAAGTTTAATGTGAATTATTGGTGTGTAAATCACACAGACTTGCACGTAGGCATATTTTCGTGAAGCACTAGCGCACTTCATGAAATATGCCTACGTGACAAGTCTGTGTGATTTACACACCAATAACTCACACAGAACTTAAAAACATTCCTTAAATATTTATTTATTATGTGCTATCTCCTTCATGTTTATATCATTATTGATCAGTTTTAATTAAAAACAGTTAAATATATAATCTTTGGTGATTGAAATTCCCAACTTTTACACAGAATTATAAGAAAAACTGCCTGCCTAGCTGATACATATTGGAAGTTATTTTCTCGATACAATACATTCTTGAATATAGATATGTATCGATATATTGATACAGCCCTATTACTTTTTAGAATCAGTGTGGTTTTGAAATCCCAGAAATACTTTTAAGGCATTTTAAGGTAGTTTTAGTTCGTAGTGCCAGGATTTTTAATTTCTTTTTCATTTGATTATAAAGAGGGTAATACTTCAAGTCAAAAGACAGGATACATGATTACTATAATATTTTTTGGTCTGGTCTGTTTGCAATCTATTTGCACATCAAAGCCATTGAATATTGGATTGTAAATAAGTCCACAAGGAATACATGGATATGATTATATTTGTTGGTCTATATCAGTAAGACTTGTATGCAGCCGTCAGAACGTTAATTATTTATCAGCATATAAGGAAGTTATTACCGCCATTACTGGTGGGAGGTCAACGGAAACAAGGCCCGAGGGGAAAATCATTCCTCAATATTCCTATCCCCAACATCCATAAATTAGACGTGAACAATAACATTGTCCAAATTTACATATAGAGAACTTAATTGTGAGCAGCATCAGAATTGCTTTGACTAATAAACTATATACCGGTACAATGTCAGCAGTATTTCCAATTAGAATTCGGTTGCTTGTATATCTGTAGGGAAATCAAAAGGGTAGTTCAATTGTGTTTTTCTATATGTCAGTACTTAGCTTGTTTGATAAGATTTCAGTATACCTGTATGATATGTACTGGGTATAAAAAAAAAGATTAATATTTTTTGTTTAAATTTAGTGTAAATGGCAGAAGACAGGAGAAAATTTTACTTCTGATCCTAAAAAAAAAAAAACATAACCTATGAAAGAATGAAATGATGTTTTAACATTCATGGAACTTTATAGAAATCTTGAACAAGGCACATGAAAAACTGTAGAATTCTCATCTAAATGTAGATTTGTATTGTTATTTTCCCTGGTGACTAACGTGATTAGTTTATTTGGTAGATGGAACATAGAAGTTTCTCCCAATGCTGTGGCCGAGAACGACGTCTGTGATGAACCGTTAGTAACCGACCAACTACCCTTAGATGTGTTCAACAATTACTTCAGTCTCGGAGCTGATGCCCATGTGGCTCTAGAATTCCATGAAAGCAGAGGTAGAAGAAGAACTACTGAACACAAGTTTATTTTAAAATGATTGATAAACATATATCTGTATTAAGAAAAGGATTCTTAAACATTGTAAAAGTATAAAACATAGGGGAGAAAATCCCACAAGTTGTACATAAGTTGAACAATTTCTGTACAGTTGTAATATGTAGGTTAATTTTAAGGCCAGTTATAAGTTAACTGAACGATAAATTAAAATTTCTTGAGAGATATGTCTATTAAAACTAACTGTCATAAAAAAGAAGTTAAGTTGATATGCATAATTTTTATGCCCCCCTTCAAAGAAGGGAGGGGATATTGCTTTGCTGCTGTCTGTAGGTTGGTCGATCTGTCTGTCGGTCCACCAACAGTTTCTGTTCATTTTCTTCGCAGAGGTTGCACATACTGAAATGAAATTTGGTATACAGATTTATCATAAGAATATCTAGAGCAAGTTCTGTTTTGAGTTTGATCGAGCAATTTTTGACAGAGTTATGCCCCTTGGACTTGTAAAAATTCCAATTATTTACAGTTTCCATTCATTTTCTTTGCAGAAGTTGCACATACTGAAATGAAATTTAGTATACAGATTTATCATAAGAATACAGACCTGTTTACTCTTACTATTATGCCTTACTTTGTATGGATTTTGAGTCTTAAATACGTCTCACGTTTTACTTATTGAAAATACGGAAATCCGAAATCCATTCGTTTGGATTTTAGCAGATAGTTTTCGTTATGATATGTCTCAGTTTGACGCTTTTTAATCACTAAAAAAGAAAGATTTCGAACACTTAAGTATGTCGGGTTGCCAAAACGCGGTGGTTTACCTAGTAATATATGTAAAATCAATGGAAAGTAAAATCTTACGGATAAATGCCAAATCTCACTGACAAATCTAATAAAAAATACTGAGAGACAACAATATGGGTAAATAGGTCTGAGAATATCTAGGTCAAGTTCTGTTTTTGGTACGATCAAGCAATTTTTGACAGAGTTATGCCCCTTGGACTTGTAAAAATTCCAATTATTTACAGTTTCCATTCATTTTCTTTGCAGAGGTTGCACATACTGAATTGAAATTTAGTATACAGATTTATCATGAAAATATCTAGGGCAAGTTCTGTTTTGGATACCATCGAGCAATATGCCCCATGGACTTGGAAAAATTCTAATTATTTGGAGGGAGGCATAAGTGTTTTACAAACATCTCTTGTTTTATTTAGTTTTCAATGATTGATTTAAATCATGTACCATCCAAAAATTATATTGCAGAGGCCAATCCAGAAAAGTTTAACAGCAGGTTTTGGAACAAAATGTTCTATGCAGGTGTAAGTATCAAGGATAATTTAGCAATTTTTAACACTTGAGTATACCTGACCAATTAAAAAATATTGTTCAAAATCAATATGTATACATTTAAAAAGACAGCTTGGAATTGAAATTCAAATATGTTTTAAATATTCTTTACTTATTATTCTTTGATATTAGGCAGGTGGGCGTGACATGCTCAGGAGAAGTTGGAAGGGCCTGGCTGACCATATCCAACTTATCGTAAGTCTTTGATAATGCATTATTTAAAGTCCAGAATGGTTCTTGCAAACTGCACCATTTTATGAACCTTTTTAGATAATTACCAGTAGGCTATTTTTGAAGGCTGGAATCACCTCTGTCAGCATTCACTTTGCCCAGTGATGTACAAATTAAAACTAGATTGAAACAAATAAAGGCATAGAAGGTCTGCTGTAGTAAATACATGCTTGATTCACCCTCACAATAGAAAAATTACTTGCATATGAATTTTTAATTTAAAAAAAAAACATTAAAGATTACCTTTGAAATCAGCATGTATTTTCTAGATTGGCTTTCTTTTTTTATTCCAGATAGTTTGTGATGTGATTATGAGATACTCAGATCTGAGGGCAAAACTTAAAGCAAGGGTGTCCTCCCCATCTATATTTTTGTCTCTCTGTTAGTCAGTTTATTCAGCAGATTTTCTGGACTTTTTTCCTAGACACTTGGATTTATTGAACTTATTTTAAGTATAAGTTACAGATCAAGTGGGCATTTTTTCTGCTTTGAGGATTTTTGACAAAATTATGGCCCCATAATAGAAGTGAATTGTATTACTATGAAATTCTCTCTGAATTCTTGTTTTTTCTAAGTAATGGGTAATAATTAGCAAAAACATTGGCTTTATGTTATTCTCTGGAGAAAAAAGAACGATACTGAAACATCTGAATTAATATGCATATTAAAGACATTGTAGTTTATATATTGGTGCATGAAAAGAAAGAAAAAAAAATTAAATGTCAACGAGAGGCTCCATGGAAAGAGAGATAACTTTGTAATTGTTTTCTATTAAAGCTAGCTGTTAAATTTTTATCTTGAACAAATACATGTATTTGTTTCATGCCCTGTATGATGTACTGATTTTTAATTCCATCTTCCAGTTCAAAAAAATATTGTCAAAATTAAAGAAAAAATTCTACCTAAATGTTCTTGACCTTTTAGTACTAAATGTTGCTGGTTCTTTGTTGCAGTGTGATGGTCAAGACTTGACCACTAAAGTCCAAGAAATGAAACTTCACTGTTTATTATTCCTTAACATTCCAAGGTATGTTAGATGTTGAATAGTTAAAGGTTATATGAAATATAAAAAAAAAAATTGGTCTTTGCTCAAGCTTAAAATTATTGTGCACATCTGCATATACATACATATAAGAATTTTTATGATCCATTGTCAGTGTCTTAGGATTTAATCAGTATTTTAATTATTTTCTAAACAGTGCAGATCGGTTTCCAACTTACAAAATATATCCCGTCCAGACATGACCTCACTGTTTTTTTTTTTTTTTTTCATTTCAATTTTTATTACATCAATGTTATACAGGTATGCAAGTGGGACGTTACCCTGGGGAAATCCTAACACACCAGGATTTGAACCACAACGCCATGACGACGGTTACCTAGAGGTCATAGGTTTCACGTACTCCTCCTTGGTGAGACCATTTATAATTTTAGAAACGCTGAAATGAGCAAGTCTTAATTATTTTTTCCACACTTTTAGACGAAGATCCTTTTTACAGATGGAAAAATCATAAAACAGTTTTTCTTTGAAATTTCCTAATATATTGTTACTTTGTCAGAGAAGTACATGTTTAATGTGTCAACTTTTCAGTTTAACAGTCTATACATTTTAACGTACAGAAGATTGTATTTTCTAACAGAGAATAAAAATCAATTTTCTATTATATAGCATCACATAATTCACATGCTTCTGTAATCTTATGTTGTATAATATATTAAGGAAAGAACTTTTACTTTCTCTTTTAGGCCACCTTGTATATGGGAGGTCATGGAGAGAGGCTAATACAATGCAGGGAAATAAAGCTAAAGACTCTGAAGGCCATTCCAATGCAGGTGGATGGGGAGCCGTGCCGGTTACGGCCCTCAACCATCGTCATCCAAGCACGGAATCAGGCCAATATGATTGCCAAACCAAAGAGGAGGGGCTCAGTACCTATAGCCAATGAGTAAGTGTTTAAAAAGAGGCAGGGCTCAGTACCTATAGCCAATTAAAAATTGCAGATTAAAAGCAATTTTTTAGGGTTTTTCATGAAAATTTGAAAAATAAATTTCATAAATGTAAGAATATAGAACCTTTAAAAAACTAATAATTTGGAATTAAGTATTCATTTAAAGAACACTTGTTGAATTATAGGCATAGAATTTAGAAAGTGAACACAACTTTTGAGAATTTTTCTATTTAAAGTCTGGCTCTGTTGAAGACCGAGTTGAGGTACATATTTCCAACACCAATATATAGTTATCTGTTGTAGACTTTCTTTCTAGTCTTCGTCATTTCCTTTTTTTTAACGTATTTTCATTTTATTATCATAGAGTTATCAACGTGTTTAGTGTCATTTTGTAAATCTCCAGAAAGATAGTATGAAGGCAATATTTTATGCCATGGGGATGACAAAATGGATACATTTTGAACAAATGATAGCTGTTTTTGTATACCAATTGGTAAAGCTGAGATTTTGTTGTCGCTTTTAAATAACTATGTTTTAACGGTACAGTCAGTTTATTCATGAAGTAATAAAAAAGTTATTTCTGTACTATCGAGGACCAAAAACATGACTTAAATGTACTTATAAAACAATTGTGTTACCTTTTTGTATGTTCAAAGAGATACACAAAGTTACTTGCAATATAAGATCTCTTTTCTTACTCTTTCTATCTGTCAGATAGCTTACATCAGAATACCATATTATTCACTCCCATGAATTTTTACATATAGTACCAAAAAGATATAAATGATAATCAGTTGAATTATAGCTATATAGTCACCTTTGTTATAGATATTTCAAGTATTTATAGTCTATAGAATAAATAAGCTGCAATGTAAATGTGATAAACTGAATATATCTGCAATTCATATTTCATCTAAAAGATTGATGTACAGTCATTTCTGAGTCCTTCTTCAGAAAGTCCAAGAATAAATGAAGTAAATATATAGAAGAGTTATGTCCCTTAGCCAGTTGAAATTGAACTTTTTTCATATTTTGTTGACCTTGAGCTTAGTTTTGGAGGATTAAGTGTAGATTCAGTCCATCTATAGTCCCATTCTGGCTTTTTTCAGTCCCCCTTCCATGCCTGAGCGACTTCGAATACAGGTCAGCCGTATCAGTATGGCTGACTATGAGCATCTGAATTACGACAAAGATCGCCTCCGGGGAGCATGTAAGTCAATGTTTGCTGTGGTGGTGGATCACTTCTTTTCAACTATTTCATAGGTGGATGTGGTGATAGCATTATGTACCAAGCATGTATTGATTTGAGCAAAAGCATGTGAATATTTACCTCTCAACCTAACTGTCATCATTTTTCATTCATTTTCAGAAGCATGATTTCATGTCATTTGTATCATAAGTCTTTAAATATGAGGGATTTGGGTTAATGGTTTGAAATAAAGTAATTTGCTTATGAAAACATGTTGCTTGAGAAATAATATCATCAATTTGCATTGACGAGTATTATCATGTAGCATGACATACCAACATAATTCACCCTAGATGAAAAAGAGGGGAAATTTAAAGCATTATTAGCATATGCCTGCTTATAAAAATATGTAATAATAGCATTTAATGGAATATTGTGATCTTGTCTATTTCAGCTGTCCCTTTAGGACTAATTGTAGTAGACAATAATGCAGACCTGGATCAAGTCAGACAGATTATCAACAAACTTCAGCAGGTATGTCATTTGTATGCCACCTTCTTAATCATTTCAGTATTAACCATAATACATCTATGCATTCCTGATATTAAATTTTTTTTTTATTGACAGGGAAACAACGAACTCAACTCTTCATCACAACCTCTGTCTTCAAAATGGTGCTTCTTAGATTGTAAGTACACTGTTGCCCAGATTTCTAAATTAAGGAGTTTTACTTAATTTTAAATTAATAAAATTATATATGCCTAGATGGATAATGAAAAGTTAAATCTAGCACTGCCTTTTATTTTGATATTATGTTTGATATTTATAATGTAATAATTCAGATTCAAGTGAAAAAAAAACCATATCTGCTTCAAATCATTTTTTGCTGAATTTTAAAGACACATGGAAAAGGAATTATTTTACATTGAGTCAATGAAACCGCAGATTTGTTCTATATTTCTAGCTACAACGGCTGAACGCTTTTTTCGTATTGACCGAGCCCAGGAACAGTTACACTACATAACAGATATCTCCTCCGAGGACCTCTATATACTAGACCCGGACATGTCCAGCACTCAACATTCCACTGGAAATGGGGAGGTGACTAAACCCCAGGAAGACAAAGGCCTGGTCTTCACCTTCTCAATGCCAGTCACCCCACCAAAGTCCCCAGGGTAAGAGTTACAATCACACATGTGACCCCACCCAAATGTCCAGGGTAAGACTTAAAATACAATCATACCAGTCACCCCACCAAAGTCCCCAGGGTAGACGTTACAATACAGTCACACTTCCCTCTTGAAGCTGTATTTTATATTATTTGTTATGATTTCCAGACTTTGTTTTGAGCTAGTTTTTGGTCTGTCTTTCTGTAATTTCTAAGAAGCACTGTAATAGGGCTCTACATCAAGATGCAAGTGCCCTCTAGTATTTGATATCTGTCTAGCTCCCCATCCTTTAGAATTATTTTGTGAAACATTATTTGGAGACTAAACACGACATACATCTGACTTAGTAAGGTGGATGACAACTCTTGTTTCAGGGGTCACTTAGGCAAAGGTCAAGTTCAAAAGTCAAAAATAATTGGTGTATCCCTTAACATTGATGTGATATACTAGCTTAAATATTTTTGATTGAAGTAAATGGTTAGAGGATGATAAGAAGAAGATATATAGTGATTTTGGGTCACTTGGTTATAGGTCAAGGTCAGAAGTCAAGGTTATTGATATGACCATTGTATCACCTTAACTGGGATGTATATTGCAGACTTTAGATTTACTTTACATGGAGAATACATTGGGAAAGATACCAGTAGATTTAGGCATCACTTTGTCAAGATTAAATTTTATCTGTAGTAAGTAACTGAGGTGTTTTTTTTTTTTACTTTAATTTATGATTACATATGGTTGCGATGATTGATGAACACCTGCAAATTTGAAGGACTATTCAGTCAATGTCAAAATTGTTTACTTTCCTGAACACACTTTTATGTGGCACAAAAATTCAGCATTCAATGTTGGCTAAGGTTCACTTCACAATTAAAAAACCTATAGTCCCCTCCGGTTTCACCGGTAGGGGACTAATAAGAGACCTATATATAGAGTTTGAGTTCACTTCTCAATAGGTCAAGGTCAATTTTCAAGATCTTTTATATAAACATGAGATCCATGTGTGACACTGTCAGTTTTCTAGTTTCCATTTCAATAAAATAGACAGATTTTGTGTAGTATGTTTTTAATCTGTTCAGATAATATAAATATTTAAATGCAATTTTATTATCAAAAATAAAAGCTACACTTTGCAATTTGTAAGGAAAATCTTTTAATGCAAATGTCTACTTTTCATATTGTTTGATATTTTTACTGTTTTTAGGGCATTTAAATAAGAGAGCATAATTAAAACACTTGTTCTTGTTTACAGCATTTCTGACACTCGACATAATAATAATGATGAAAAGCATTCTCTACCTGTGCCAAAATCTCCTGGAGAGAACAGGTCAGATATTTATATTAATTATATACATGTACTATTTGATGCATGTTAATTAGATCTGCATTTTATAAGAATTACATAGAAATATGTCTTTTTTTTTTCAAATTTCTTATGATACTTAAACAAGTGCTATGAGAATGGTCTGACTTGATATTGTATCTTAATTATGCATTTAAAATTATTATGTAAAAGCAACACCACATTATTTTACCTAATATACATATAAGATATTTAATATATGTTATATTTTCATTTTAATAGCCTCATACTTTTCTTTTAAGAGATGTGCTTAATTTGTTTTTCTTTTTAAAAAAAAAACCTTTAGAACTACAGTATCTGAATGTTGTAATAACACCATTTTGGTTGAAACAAACATCAATATTGTTGTTATATATAAACACTTTTTTATATTTTTGTTTTTGTGTGGTTTCTTTTAACACAGGACCACACTTCCTCGTCCTGAGAGTAAGGAAAATTTACTCACCCCACCCTCCCCCGGCTCAGACAACAGGTGCATACTGCATGTGGGGTGTTGCATCCCCCTTTTTTTTTGGTTTATTTTTTAATTTGCACCTGTGTAATTAAAAATCCTATTGTGTGGATTTCTCCGACTTGTACTTCCTGTTTCAGTTTTTAAAGTTTTTCCTTCAAATACATGAAACATGATTAATGGCTTAATGCCCAGCTACATTAAAACATCTTATGAAAGCATGTAGACGAAAATACCTTAGAGAATATTCTGAAGCCAAAACCACAATTCTTTAATTTTTTTTTTTTAAATCAGTATCTTAAAACTCTATAATACAGTATCTAAAGATAACGTGGAAAACCAACTTGGATGACTTGCTTTTGTTCATTTTAGACTTCTTTTAAACTGTTACTATATCAATTTCTTACAAATTCTCATTTTTTTAAGGAGCCACACAATAGAATACATAAAGCATGGGCATATTGACTGCTTGTTTATGTAACCGACTAAAAACCCTTGCTTGCATGACAATAACCATTTAATAAATTATATGGAATGCAACATGTTTTCTTATTTAGATTGCATGATGTTGCATGTTGAAAATATTTACCTGTATATAAAAATGGATGGTGACTATTTTTTAGTTGAATTTTATCCAGTCCAACTGCATTAGTTTTCCGTTTTATTTATCACCGATAATTGATTTGCTTACTGGGTAGCATCATTATAGTAAATGTAAATTAAATCCCTGAAATTGCAGCTTTGAATATATAGGTGGACATTTATTAATGTAGGCAAGAATAGAAATGAATTATTTGCTTTGAGTCTTAAATATCAGTACCCTTATTAACTCGCAGCCCTTAACTAACTTTTCTTACATTATTTTTTTTCATTGCAATTTGCATAGAAAAATATTCTAGAAAGTCAATGATTTTTTTTTTTAAATAAATGACTTTTATAATTTTGATGGTTAGAGCATGCTCATTTTCAATATATTTTGTACAACCTATTTATTGATAGGCTCTATGCCCATTTTTCACCTGCAGTATTCATGCATACATTTGCAAATGCATATTTTGGAGAATGTCATTTGTAAATTGTTTACCTTTTACCTTCATATTTATATACTTGCCTTTCAGCTTTTTACAGTATATGCCATAATAGGTTTTTTTCCCACTACAGATGTTTCCACACTCCATGTACATCAATCACTTTATCAATATGATCACTGTTGTATTTTTATTATTCCAGTCATATGCCCCTCCGCAGAGCAAGCCCACATAAGGGCACATGGGTCTGTGTTCGAGTCGCAGACCGCAGCTTTCTACGTCACTCACTGGGGTAAAATTTCATCGCTATGTATTGCTACATTGTAATGCCTAGCATGTCTATAGTACACATGCATTTTCCATATCTGTCCAATTTTTTGTCAGAAGTTTCTAAAACCAATCTGTTAAATCTTCAGTTTATATATAGGGAGCGTAGTAGTAAAACCATTGAGCTTTATAGTACAAATGTATCATATAAATTCTGAAAGCTGTGTGAAAATTATGAATAAATAAAGCAGTTAATCAAGATATCTAGTATCAATATTGCCTTGAATTGATTTATGTATCTAACTTTATTAACTCATGTCCTTGGGTTTTTTATTTTAGCTTATAAAATTAATGTTTCATTTTTTTTTTCCTGTGAATGCTAGTTAATGTGAATTATCTTAGGATTCATTGGTTTCAGCCATTCTTAAATTTTGGAAGTCTGTTTGTCATTAAAGGAAAACACTATTGGAAAGATATTTATTCTGTTTACAATAAGTAGTAGAAATTGAAACTGAGCAGTATATATCAATACATTTTTAAAACCTGAAATAAAAAATTATTAGGATAACTTGCAAATCCAAGTGAAGTCCTACTTTTAAACTGCACCATGCTGCCTCTAAGGTGATCTATCAGCTCTGTATATTTAAATCATTTTTGTCTTTTATTCCATATTTCTATAGTCAGACTTTTTAACAAGCTACACATACTAGCATGTGAAATTCAGAAATCATTTGATCACTTACTTTGATCATTTATGCACATCTCATGGTTAACAATAGACACATTTTTCATGAATCATGTCTAATTTCTCCTCACTGATGAAGCACACTGCTATTTTTTTAAATATCTACCTTATAGGAAAGTTAAGATAGAACTTTATAGACTTATTAGGCTTATAATATAGCAATGAAGATTAAAGCATTCTTAGAAATGGTGTTTGGTAATACATGTTCTCCATGCTTTCAAAACCCCTTCTCTCCAAATTCCAATTCCCCTAAGTCACACCCCCTCCCAACTCACATGCACATTTATATGCTTCATATTAAGACTTCCTAAGTGATTAAGTAGCATCACATATTTCACTTTTATATGAAGATAATGATGTAGTTCCTTAGGAAAGGCTTTCTGAGAGCTATGAAAACTAGAACATCTATTAAATCGTTAAAAAAAATAAAAGGTACTATTCATCAATTGAAATAATGTAAATTATTTAAAGTTTATGAATTTATTTTTGTTGTTAGTGTTGAAAAGATGTAGTTAATAGATATACAAAGTAATGTTTAATGTACTAAGATAGTAGATTCTGCATGTGCCCCCTATATTATGTTGACACATTTGCTTTATTGCATTTAGATATTAGAGAAATATCTCTTAGCTATATGTAGTGTGTTTAACAAAATGTAACAATGTAAAAATTTATTCTACTATATATTATGTGTTGAATGTAATATGTGTTGTTAGGTTTTATAAAATTTCTGCTGTATTTCACATACTGTCAATTTATCTTTATTGGTAAAGCTAAACTGTTCTCTGTGGATAAATATTTTAAATAAACTACCCTTTAATCCCATCCTATAAATGTTTTTAAGGCATGTGTAATAAATGTGTATGGTAGCTAGACTAATTAACATTTTCCATCAGTTGAAAAATTTATTTTCTTTGAATCATGTGTGATCTCAGGATTGAGTTAAAGGATACATTAGACCACAAGACATAGTCAGTGGCATTCAGGGCATACACTGGAGAACCACAGTACAATGTTTTTTAAAGGATTCTAATGATTATCTATTTGGTAGCAAAATAACAGAAAAATAAGCATCAATAAATGTTAATTTATATAATTTTAAAAGTCTTGCTTGATCCACAACTGCCACCAGCCCATTTGTTAATCTCTAAAATATTGAACGGATCATGTTAATTAAGATACAGTTTAATTTCAGTATCTCAAATATGTATATGTTAAAATGATTAAGAAGTCATAAAGAATTTTTCTTTACCTATTTTACCCTTGATATCTCAAATTCTCAGATATCTTGAAGTTTCTTCTTGGTCCCATTGAGTTTGACATAATAAGGATGGGAGTGGCAAAATTTAGAAATGATTTAAAACAAAATAAAGGGATGTTGTGTATGTGTTGTTTTAGCTCTGAGCCAGGCTCGCCAAATTCTCCAAATGAATGTGGTTCCAAGCAGTATCAGTTTATGTCAGTGGCCAATGCAACGGCAGCTGGAAAAGCAAAGAAACTCACAGTAGCTGACAAAGGTATCTACATATCATTCTAAAACTCACAGTAGCTGACAAAAGTATCTACACAGATATCATTCTAAAACTCACAGTAGCTGACAGAGGCATCTAGTACACAGATATCATTCTAAAACTCACAGTAGCTGACAGAGGCATCTTATACACAGATATCATTCTAAAACTCACTTTAGCTGATGGGCATCTACACAGATATCATTCTAAAACTCACAGTAGCTGACAGAGGTATCTACATAGATATCATTCTAAAACTCACATTAGCTGACAAGGGCATATACACAGATATCATTCTAAATCTCATAGTAGCTGACAAATGTATCTTCACAAATATCATTTAAAACTCACTGACTAAAGCGCACATCTGCAAGAAAAGGTAATGCCACAATTTAGTCACAATTTTCGTACCAGCTGATGAAGGTTAGTTTACCTATGCAGAAATATCTGTTGATGAAAATAATTACAGAAATGTACATGAAATTGTTGAACTTTACACATACAATGTCAAACTCAGCTGAAACTCACTTAAACAAACCCATATGCACTGAACACACAAATTCTCACTGGTGAAAGTAACTATTTTAGAAATATTAATTAAACTTGATGATTAATTACAACGACATTCCTTTAACGTCATGAATGCTAATTTTATAACAAACATTCTGCAGAATTTTATTTCTCCAGAAGAGCCAATTTCAGGTGTTTATTTGAGTGTTTACTTTTTATGCATTTATTACATAAGGACTCTTTAAGGGTGCTATAAAAGGAGATGCATTTCACTTAATGACTAGTTATAGAAACTTCCTTTTAACAAACTTCTCTTTACGTTATAGGCTTGATAGATGCATCAAAGAGAGGCGATTTGACAAAGGTTAGTCAATTTTCTTATAACACCCCCTTCCCCCTTTATTAATCAAAATAATCAGGTAGTTTAATTATTATTGTAATTTAATGTTTGAAATCATTGTTAGCAATTTGGCATTAACTGTGTAAGCAAAGGGTTAAATTCTCTTTTCTGAGGAAACACACTGTTAACTAATTTACAGTTTAGTCACGGTTGACCAGTTTGTATTGTATGTCACAGTTGATTGATTCATTGTTTATTTTTGTCATAGTTCACTGATTTGTATTGATTCTTTACAGTTGGTTGACTTGTTTTGTCAACACGATGCAGACCTCCTAGCGACTGATCAATATGGCATGACCTCACTGCACCATGCTGCACGGTTTGGACATAAGGGCATTGTCAAATATCTCATCGATAATGGTAAGAACTGAAATATTATAGAAAATATCCATTGATAATAGTTAGAAGCAGAAAATATCTCATCGATTATGGTAACAAACAGAAAATATCTTGTGTATAATGTTAAGAAGCAAAACATATTATAGATTTTCTGAAATCTCATTGATAATAATAAGAATTGGAAAATATCTCAATGATAATAATAAGAAATGGAAAATATCTCAATGATAATAATAAGAAATGGAACATATCTCATTGGTAATAATAAGAAATGGGACATATCTTATTGGTAATAATAGGAAATGGGACATATGTCATTGGTAATAATAGGAAATGGGACATATGTCATTGGTAATAATAGAAAATGGGACATATGTCATTGGTAATAATAGGAAATGGGACATAATTATGTCATTGGTAATAATAGGAAATGGGACATATGTCATTGGTAATAATAGGAAATGGGACATATGTCATTGGTAATAATAGAAAATGGGACATATGTCATTGGTAATAATAAGAAATGGGACATATCTTATTGGTAATAATAGGAAATGGGACATATGTCATTGGTAATAATAGAAAATGGGACATATGTCATTGGTGAATAATAGGAAATGGGACATATGTCATTGGTGAATAATAGAAAATGGGACATATCTTATTGGTAATAATAGGAAATGGAGCATATCTCATTGATTATAATAAGAAATGGAACATATCTCATTGATTATAATAAGAAATGGAACATACCTCATTGGTAATAATAAGAATGGAACATATCGCATTAGTAATAATAAGAACTGAATCATTACAGGACAACATTTATACATGTATAATTGCTTAAAGATTCCTTATCAGAAATAACTTATCTTTTACAGCTCCCCCTGTCATTCTGGATATGGTGGATTATGAAAAGTAAGTGTCTGTAGATGTCTTTAAGACTGTATTTTTCACTTGTTATTGCAGTTTTTATCCATAATAAAAATAATGGCACATTCTGTTTGAATCTGATATGATGGCTCAATCCGGTTACGTGCCCCAAAAATTAAAAGTTTCTTGTGATTTTAGAGATGGGGTAGGTTTCACTTAAATGTATAATGAAGATGTATTCAGTAAACTCTAAAAAGAAAGGTTCAGGTTGCTTTCATTCAGGAAATCTCAGAACTTTGTTCTTACTGAAGCCACTATGATAATAATTTGTATGATATAGAATGTTTAGAAAATTTGAATTCTCTATAGATCTTCTTAACTCAGATAAATATGGATCTTATACCTGAACTTTTGTATAGTTCTTGTAAAGAATAGGCTTGCTTAATGGGAAGAACAACCAAATCACTCCTAATGAGTGATTTTATGCATTAATGTGCTGTACCTTGAAATCCTTTGTTAGCTTTGTCATTTCTGAATTTCAGAGGGCAAACAGCATTGCACAAGGCAGCGTGGTACCAGAGGAGAACGATTTGTTACATGTTGGTAGAGGCTGGGGCCTCGCTGACGCGTACTGACTATCAGGGTAACACGCCTCGGTTACAGGCCCTGAAAGCTGACGACAAAGAACTGGCTGCTTATCTAGAAAGTAAGATACCTCTTATTTAAGGGAGTTTTATTGAGTTTGTTATGGAAAATCTTGATTATGTATAAACTCATCCACCATCTGATTTAGAATATTATTCAAAAATGGTAGAACAGGAAGGAATGATACCTGTAGGTTAGATATTTTTCTACTGTTTTATTAACGATTCGTTATCTGTTGGCAGAAAAAAGCATGACTTAGTAGGTAAAGTTCACAGCTCCCACATTTTAACTACTGCAGGCTATTGTAGAATTATAATTATACTGAACACTACACTGCTTGTACACATGTAGAAAACTGTCCCCAAAATGTAGTGCTAGATATAGATTAGACTAAATGTTAAATCAATTTTCCTCTGCTACCATGGTGGAGAATTGCAATTAAGCAGAAAAACAGATAATAAACTTTAATTCTGTCCAGACAATTTATCTTACCATTAATTTTTCATATGTATATGATGATGATAACTTAGTATTGTCCTGTTAAAGAATATGGATAGAAAATGTGTAAATTAAGTGTTATACAATCTTTTAATTTATTCAGATTAAAATGAAGAAATGAAAATAAATAAAATTCCTTCTAATTATTTTGCAGGTCAGGAGCATTTTCAACTGGTTGTGTCGGAGGATCAGGAAACAGCAGTTTGACTGGTCCCCCGAGATCCGTTAAAGGCCAATAATGTGATAAAAAAAAACCCTAAATTTGGCCCTACATTGTGATATTTCTGACAACTTTCCACTTTTCATGTTTTCTCCCAGTTTTGTGATGCAGTGAATGGTGTGAAGTGATGAGTGAGTTCTTTATAAACGAGTGTGAGATATTTTTTCTACTTTTCTTCTGATATCTTTGTCTAGGATTACTTATCTTTGGTTTGATTGGTTCTCACAATTGTCTGTGATATATAGGCTGTTTCAAATTTATTCACAGTTTGTGTATTCACAATAGGATATTTGATTTCAAATTTGCAAATTATTGCATGAATTTGAAGTAATATTACATGGTTTTCTTAGATGATATTTGAATATACCCGTTATTTAATTATCAAGTAAAGACTTTCTGGACATTTTTTTTTGTTTGGATGATCATTAAGTGTGTTTATTATAAATCATTTGTACTTGTACTTATGTACAGATGTTATAATTTTCAGATGTATTCTCACTGAGAAAATTATTGTGTAATATAATTATTTCTTTTGCTACACATATCTTTTACATTAAGCATAGATTAATTGATTTCATGTGTACTAAAGACCAAATTTGTTTGCAGTGAAGCAATTGGTTTATTAAATTACAATTTGTCAGCAAGCTGGGTTTCCTTGCTAATCAAGCAGTGCTTGAATATGTTTTTTTTTTTTTGTGATCATTTTAATTAACCATATCATGAATGTGTGTATAGATATATTTTACTACCTACATTTGGGAAAAAAATTATGTCCAAATATCTTGTTATGTTTGTTGTTATAACACAAGTTGTTATTGCTTAATCCGAAAACCACACAGAAATTCTTCCATTTTTTTCCACTTGAAATAAAAATTTTTTGCTTACTCTCGCACATTTTTGCATAGCAATGCATAATTTATAAAAGATATTGTAAACATTTGTATTTATTTGTAGTAGTCTCATAAATTGTTTTATTGTAGTGAAGAGAAATTGAAAAGGATTTGTTATAAATTTCTATAGCTATTGTCTTTTTGGTGTATTCTATACTTATTGTAGCAACAAGTTTTGTAGTTAATTTTTTTTATTTGTATTATTTTCTATTATTTATGCAAATAGTTTCTTTTGGAGAAGGTCCCATTCCAAAATAAACTATGGCAATATCACAGCATTATTTATTATGTTAATTATGTTAATTAGATTTCTTTAACATTCCCTATGCAAAAGTTGAGCTTATTGGATTAATAACCCGTGTTTAACTATTCTTCAATACTCTTACTGGTATTTATTTTATATATGGTAATGTAGCTATTATTTGTTTATTTACTTTCAAAAAAGTTGCATCAAAGAAACATTTTTAGCTCATTGTTTGCAAGACTTGCAGAAAAAAAGGAACTCAAGGCTTTTTTTCATTAAAAAAAAAGTTTAAGACATTTTGTAAATAAATAAACACGTCATTAAGATCTAAACTTTCATCTATAGTGCTGATGTTAATTATGTGTAAAAAGTAGAATTTCAAAAAAAGGAGAAAAATCTTATTTTATTGGGCTAGGGTTTTTTTATGTACATGTATCATCCATTTCCTGTTTGGAAAGGAAGAAAAAGAGATTTGAAAAGGTTAACATGTTGAGATAAACTTTGCAGAGAATATTGGAAGTTCTCTCATTCTTTAGTTTTGTATTTTTTCTCTCTCTCTTTTTTTTTTTTTGAGAAGTTGTAGAAATACACATTTTTTTACTTTACATTAAGTCTGCAAATAAATACTGTAAAAAAAAAATAAAATTGTTTTTGTTTTTAGGTCACTTGCCCACGTGACTTATTGCTGTCTTTTTTGGTCGTAAGCTTTTGAACAATTTCAGCTTCTTCTCATAAAGTGTTGAACTTAATAATTTTATAAATTTTAGTTTATGGCATTTATGGGTAAAGGGGAACATAAATTATGAATTTTGTGGTCACTGCCTCACTGGAGTGGGTCTAAAACATTCAAAATGTAATCTTCAAAACAGAAATGTTCTTCACTCCTGGACTTCAAGCAGTTAAACTGTTGGCATGATTATAATAAACATGGAGCCTTCTAATAAAATTTTGAAATTTGTGACACCAGGGTTAGGGGTTCTGAGGTAAAAGTGGAGCTCTTTTGGTCATATAGTGAAAATGTGTAATGTTTATAAAAATATTGTTCTCTTCTCCTGTTACTGAGTGCATAGTTATGATGCAATGGTGCCTCATTCAAAATTGGGAAATTCATTGCCCCTGCGTCAGGGATTCTGGTGTTAGGGCAGGGCTCTATTAATCATATAGTGAAAGTGCACGAATTCTTTAAAAATCATCTTTGCTCTTGGGCATCTAGCAGACTGCAAAGGTGCTTCTTCCAAATTTGAAATTCATGGTCTTTTAAGTCTGGTTCAGGAGATTCTGGTGTTATGATGGGGCTCTATTGAATATATAGTTAAATGTATCAATGCTTTGAAAACCTTTTTCCGTTGCATCTATCAGGCAAACCAACTATATAGTTGAAATGAGCAAGGGTGCCTCTGCCTTAATTTTGAAATTTATGCCCCCCCCCCCCCCCCCGGGTCAGGGGTCTTGTGTTATGTTGGGACTCTGTTCAGCATATGATGAAAATGTATTAATTCTGAGCAAATATTATCTGCTCCTTGGCATTAAGCAGACAACTAAGTACATTGTTATAGTGAGCAAGGGGTGCCTATATCTAAAGTGTGAAATTCATGGCATTTGAGTCAGAGATTCTGGTGTAAGGGCAGGGCTTTATTGATCATACAGTGAAATGCATCAATTCTTTGACAGTGGTTTTCTCTGCTCTTGGGAATCTAGTAAGCAGAACAAGTACATAGTTATAATGAGCAAGGGTGTAGGGCACGAATTGTCAGTAGCCTGTCTCGGTTTGGTAATTCTTTGTACATAGAAAGTGCTTTTGCATATCCACCAACTAAGAGACATCAACACCATATGCAGGTGATAATGGTAAATTGCTAAATAATGACATAAAAGTTGAAGTCAGCACGTTTTGTTAGTTTGCCATCAGTATCTTTTTCTAGTAAAGCATCAAAATGTGAAACTAAACAGATGTGTCAGAATCTGTGATGTCTTTTATTTCGAATTTGGTAGGAGATATCAAATCAATCATAAAATTTAGTTGTTAGTTTGCCATCAATGTCTTTCTGTAGTACAGCATCCCAATTTGAAACAGATGTGTTAGACTGTATATCTAAATGTCGAATTGTAGTCAACAGCAAGATACTTCTTTTCATGTAGATGTTTTTAGATACTGTAAACATGATAAATTCTGCTTCAAAAGAATATAAAAATAATACTGCTATATAAATGGGAACAAATAGTTCCATTTAGTATCAACTTCAGAGTACTTGTGTGTACAATCATAATTTTTAAAGAAGTAATTAAGTTTGTAGATGACCAATCACAAGAAACAAAAATTCTGAGTATGTAAGATTAAGCATTTATATGCACATTATACTTAAAGATAAGAGACATTTTTAATCTAAGAACTTTTTGGATACCTTCTTAAGCTGGGTGTATCGATCAAAGTAGAAGATACAGCTTTATTTGCCAAAATTTAAGATTTTAGTATGATATCTAAGGGATATAACTCATGGGTTAAAATTTTCACATCTACACTACGTATTCAGATGTCTGGGAATGTCATTTATAAAAAAAAAATTGAATATTTGAATTGGAGAAAAAATTCAATTGATTGCGGACCTTGGAAGTATCCGACGATCAAGATATGTACTATCTACTACCATTCAATGACAGGGTAGTAAAATGTAAATAAAGGAATAACAAGTAATACCCATGAAGTAACAATTCTTATTACCTGTAAGACCCTATTCTGATAGTTACAACGAAAAACTTCAGCAAACCAAAGAATATTTGAGCAACCGTAGTCAAGAAGTGAATACTGAAATTGAAACCTAGCGTATACATTTACAATGTACTTGAATTTTAAGTAACACGATTCTATATAATAACTGCATCATTGAAAATTTAAAAACTCTTGAGAAAAGTATTCAATGTATTCCTTTAATTTAATTCTGAGGTGTTAAGCTCAATTTAAGGAAGTGTGCATGTTAAAATTGTTTTCTTGGATGAAACAATTACTGTGTATAACATGCATTTCATGTTACAGTAGTATACATAAAATGTAGATGTATAAATCCCGGATGTTCTGACTTTATCTGTACAATTGTATATAAAATGTTCTTTTGCTTAAAACGTTGCCTTTATAATTGAATTGTCCAGTTTTCTCAAAATTTTAACAAGCATATTTTAAGATAAATATTAAAAATGAAATATAAACATGCATATAAACAAAGCACTTTGGATAACATAACTTTAACTAAAGGTTATGATACGCTTATCAGTTCCTTTTCTTATTGTGGTTAAAGTCACCTTGATATTTAACACATTTGAGGTGAGCGCTTTTAACAAAGGACTGGACCTGCAATGGAGACGGGATTATTTCTTTTAATATTGATCCAATTTCACTGTCTTCCTGTGCATGGTCATGATACGGAAACACTTGGTACCAATACAGACTTAAAAGCAGTATTGGGGAAATTAGAGGATCTTCAAACGACGGTACATGTCCAAAGTGATCGAATTTCTCAGTTAGAGAAACAGAATCAAATCCTGGAAAAACTTATTTCCACCGATCTCGACAACAGTGAAAACAAGCAAAATGAACGTATTTCCATTTTAGAGAAGCAATACCTGCGTTTAGAAGAAAACTTGGTAACACAATCCAAGGACGTTTTAGCTGAGAAAAAACTTAGGAGGACCAATATGGAAAAGATTTCCAGGTTACTGAGTAGACAGAATGTCCAAGAAAAACGGTACAGAGATCTAAAAAATCAATTGCAAAATTTGATGCACTTCCAGGAAGCAAAGTCTTCTTTCCCTAAAGCTTTCACGCAACGCAAAGAAAGTTCGATAAGAAAAGGTAAGATCTGTCAATATGC